ATCAGTTACAACTCGTTCTCGGTTGACGCCAAGACGAGCGTAGTTAATGCCGACGTTGGTCTCGTCCCGCTCTAAAAAAGAAGAGGGAAAAAGTCAGTTCAGTTAGGTTGGCACAGCATAAAAGAACGAAGTGAAAGAGGAAGAAAAGAGATAATTAAAAGGCCTCGGCCCCAGCCGAAGAAGCTTACCATCCTTAAACTTTCGGCTGAGGCCGACAGCTGCTAGCATGTTCTCTTGGAAAACATAATGCGTATCGAGGAGCCAAGTCTCCGGGATATGCTACATTCGGCCGCTGCCCCCCCCCCCCGGTTCGGCAGCTTGCCGAAGATGTTCTGTTGATTAAGGTTCGGATCTGGGCCGTTATCTTCGGGGGGACCTAAACTTCCTATGTCGGGATCAGGCTCAGCAAGATACCTGGGAGCGCTGAAGACGCAAGGGTGGCCCGGGTCCGTGGGTGCCCTAACCCAAATTCATTGACCTCTCCAGTCCTTGTCTGAAGAGTCGTTCGGCCACATGGTTAGGTACTGGGGCCGAGACTCAATCTGGTACCACCCAGAACCATGACTTCCGTGCCCACTTTGAATATTTGGCACTAGCCGATGGAGCTTCTTGAAGCAATGCAGGTTCGGCACATACCTGAAGAACTTGCAGACCCATAAGTATGTCATCACCCTTCGGATGCTAATGGGAGTTAGCTGACATAAGGAAATGTTATAATGGATCAGCAAGTCTCGGACGAATACGTCCAAAGGGAACCTCAGCCCATACTAAAGTTGTCTTGTGTACACCCCCACATACCCCGGGGGTGGACGATGGATTCTATCGGATGCCACGGGCATTCGGCACCAATACCCATCAGCTTCAAGGATGCCGTAATGCAACTCAATTTGTTCGGCAAACCGATACTGTTCAGCATTCTCCACCCACCATGAGTAGGGGCGGTTCTTTATCATGGCCGAAGCTACTTCGGCATCCTCCCACTCCGAAAACCCGGGAAGGATATCCCAAAGGACAGCGGGAACTTCATCGTCCCGCCCAGAAGCGCTCGACCCCTCCGTTCCCTGAGGAGGAGCCGAAGAAATGGGAGTCGCCCTAATCCCTTCAGTAGGGTCAGACTCTGCTCTTTGTCCATTCCAGGTCCCAATCCTGTTCCTAGGATCGGGAATTGGCCTTGCTCTTCTTGGAGCACGGGCTCTACCTCTAACTCCTCTCACCATTGATGAATTTCGAAGGAAAAAGTCGAAAAAAAAAGGGAAGGAGTTCAAATTCGAAGAAAAATAAATTAAAATCAAAGGAATTTACCTTAATCTGAAGCGAAAGTTGCCGATTTACGAATTGGTAGTGACGAGTCTCAGTTTCTAAGCTTAATGCTCGGGGAATTTGCGAAGTTTTGATGCGGGTTCTTGGGCTCTCTCGAGAATTCTGGGTTGGTGTTGGTGAATAAGTAAGGAGAGATGACGCGCCTCTAATTATATCTCCAGAAATGGGAATACGGGGAGTCCGCGTTTCAATTTCTCTTAAATACCCCACTAAGTAACCGTTAAACACATGACCTTGCGATTAAACCGCCCATTATCCGTCCAACTTCCACAATTATTCGCCTTAACTGTTGTTATCTCATTAATTACGGTTTAATTACGGTTTAAATTCAAATTTTTTGGATTAATTAAATCATTCACTTCCCTCCTTTTCTGATTAAATCAAACCCGACCCGTCATCCTTCCAAATCGGGTCTGGGGGGCAAGTTGTTTGGGTCCAATTTAGTCCAATTGGGCCTAGTCATTAAATGATCCAATTAAAAACCCAAGGTCAAGGTTCAACTCTCCAACTGTGTTAAAGTCAAAGATCAGTCCTCAAGGCAAGTCAATTGGGCTAAGGCCCAACTTCTCCATATATGCAAAGGTATAAAAGCCATCAATATTACATTCGTACATTCATTCAAACAAAGCCTCAAGCAATTAATTCTCTTGCATAGTGCTCTCTTTCTACACACTGTACTGACTTTAGCATCGGAGGGGCCTTCCTCGGCAGCACCCCCGAGGCTAGTTACGTGTGTTTACTGTGCAGGAAACCTTCGGCCCAACATCACTTGGACCGAATCCAGTCTTCTCCACTTCATCGGACCTTCGACAAGGTCCCATTGTTTTCACCCGAAACACTAGTAAATCTCCCAACTTACTTGCATGCTTCCTCTTCTTCATGCATTTCTCATCATCTTCGCCGTCACTACTAGCAACAATCGAATCGATTTTCCAGGAATTTATGCTAATCTTTTGAAAGTGATTCTCCCAAGTGTTAGATTCATTCATGTCATTGGCTATGTGGCCAGAACTACTAGTATTTCCACCCTTTGATGTCTTTGTTTCCAATACGCGTATTTCCATAAATGTTTCACATTCTCCATTGGAATTGGCTTAATTAGGAAATCACAAGCTCCATGTATTAGCCCCTTCCTTATTAGATCTTCATCATCAGTTGTCGAGGTCACTAAACAAACAAATTTTTTAAAATTAAAGATACGGTTAGTCTAAAATGTGTTGAATTAATTACACTATGATAAAGGGTAGGCATATAGCCGAATAATTTAGACCTTAATTCATCATTAAAGTTGTGATGACTCAATGAGGTTCAGGCCTACTGGTTAACATTGAGGGTCTGTGCATGACACACGGGTCAAGTCACATTCAAATCCCCCTCCTTTATTAATAGTTTGTATTGCTCTATTGCTTATCTAAAAAAAATAAAAAAAATTATGCGAGAGGGTAATCTGATTTTGTTGTTGATCAAATTCAAAGTTACTACCTAAGTTTGTTACCTCTATATATCCGTTGCTAATTTTTAGGCTAGGACTCTGGATTTAGTCTTTAGATAGTAATTGAAACTCCTTTCTCTTAGTTTCTTTGCTCATTTTAGTCTTCAGATAGTAATCGAAACTCCTTTCTCTTTGCTCATAGTATTTTCTAATTAGTCAACCAATATGTGTAATTGAATATCTAGGACTAATTCAAGGGCATTTTAAAACATTATACTACGAGTAACAATAATTATAACCGTGAATAAAATTCACACATAATTAATAAAGAAATTCAAAATCACTCCCAAAATTATAATCGTAAAAATCAAAACTGAACTGAAGCGTATAGCATTTATAGAAACGGCGGTAATACTTACTTAAAACGGGGATATCCATATCTAATCCAATGCACTTTAGGAGCTCAAACCCATCCATGTCGGGCATTTTGAGATCAGTTATAACAACATCAAATCTATTTCGTTCTTCTTGTAGCACAGATATTGCTTCCTTCGCATATTGGCACTTTGTCACTACAAAAACAATCTTACATAACATTTTATTAAAGTCCATTTTCAAATTATTAGAGTGTATGCATAAATTGATATTTTCTAAGTATATGCGTTAAAAGTCCCTTGATTTCACCCGAAAATTTACAAGATTATTAATAATGAAGCTCTCTTGATTGTCATGACATGCGACCGTCTCATATGTATAAAAATTAATCTGTATAAAATCTAATCATGGAATATATGAACTGATGTACGTCCTAAAGTTAAATTAAAATCATGATCATAGTTTTAACAAAGAAAACATACCCTTGAAATGGTTAAATTGCAGCATTTTTTCCAATCTCAACAAGTGATTAAGATCATAATCCACAATGAGAACCTTCCATTTGCGATTCATGAATTCTTTTACACTGAAGAGTGAATCTATATTTGCTATTAGATAAGAGTGAGTGTGAGATAGAGAGAAGATAAAAGAGTGTTAAAATGATCAAGAAGGTTGTTATAAGTGTAAGAACTTTCCACGTTTTTGTAAAACAATTAGAAAAAACTAAAATTTAAAAACATTATCACGTTGAAAAAAATATTGGTTTTCAAATCCTAGATTTTTTTTTTCTTTTTTTTTCTAGTTTTATAGAATGAGAAATATCTTGACCATTATTATTTAACTTTATCTAGTTTACCATGGTGTTTTTCTGTTTAATGTCTTCTACAATAGTTATGATATCGGTCATATCTAATATGACTAACATCCAAGAGATATTCGACAAGAAAATGTATTTGTAAAGTTGTTAGTTGTGGTAATATTGTTAGTAGGTGCAAGCGATTATAAGAGCAACTCCAATTAATTTAAGAATAACGACAATGGTTGTAGCTAGGTATTTGCTTGCAATTTTCAGAAGTATCTAGCTACTAACTTGACCAATGGAGCTATAAAATACAATTAGCTTGGCCCAAGCTAATTTGCTTGAGGAAAAAGTTTCAAAAAAATTTAGAGATTAATATATTAAAATAATTTTATTTATAAAGCTAATTGAGAAAATAAAGCTTATTTGAATGACGGGCTAGTAGCTAACCATTGGGACACAAAATAACTACAAAAAGGGTTAGCTTGAAATCATATGTGGCATGGCAAGCTAATTTAACAATTAATATACCATTAGAGATGCGATGCTCTAAGAATTTACTTGCAATTTTCAAAAACAATTTCATTGTTTGTAGATAGAAACTTGCTTGTAATTTTTTTGAAAGCAAATTTTCCTAAAAAAAAAGTTTTCCAAAATATATGAGATTAATTTATTAATAAAGTAAAATTTTAAAAACTAATTGATCAAGTGGGACTCATTTGAATAGCAAACCGATACTAACTACAACAAAGATTTGCTTAAATTCCTATATGGCATGACAAAGTAATTTTAGCTATTAGTTTAACATTAAAGATACTCTAGCCACTTTTGTCAAATACTTATAATATATAAACCTTACTTTGACAGAGAGCACCAATAAAAAAAAAAATAATAATAAATAAATAAATAAATAAAAATAAATAAACACCTTACTTTTATGGTTTAGCTCTACCCACCACTAATGACAGCTACTCGCTATTCTTATAACAATTTGCTACTCGGCCTCTAAAAACTACCAGCTACCGTTAGTTTTGCCCAACACACCTTCGAATCTCAACCCTTTTTTTTTTGACATGAACTTTAAACTCTCTTCCTCATATCATGCTTCATACAAACCAGACACCAAAATAATATGTTTTCGCAAAAAGATTTACATGTATACGGAATACATTTCCTGAAAGTCTATAGATTCACTAAACTAGCTTGCACATTCATGCTAACTGATACAAAAGCAACACCTCGCCACCGACGAAGATGTTCCTTCTAACATTCCAATAATAATCAAGAACACTACCGATCAAGGATCATATACAATGGGGAGTTCATACCCCGCTGAACATTGTTACAAAAATTGTTTCTATAGCGATTATCCAAAATCATCAGAAAATGAGGTTTTCGTGTCACCATCCCTGCATCAGAACCCAGAAAATAATCTATGCAGTGCTTGTATCTGTGGTTCCCAAGGTAATTACAATGAACAGATTTCTTGATCTCACTGAACGTCAGTGACATTTAGCTAAGATATTCCATGCCAGTGCTAGCAGACACATGAGAAAAGTTTCTAATTGGCTAGAATATTATCTCTTTTAGAACAAGAAGCACCAACATAACAAAACACATAATAATGAGAATTGTTGCGCACCGTGCCATACCCCCCTTTTGTGACCTGTCCGCCTGAATTAAGAAAATACAGTGTAGAAATTACAGACTGACCAACAATACTATAAACAGAAGAAACAAATGTTGCATGAGAGATTAACTTATAAACAAATCTATAAACAGAAGAACAAATTTAGTGCGAAACAGGAAAACTACAGTCTCATAAAATGCAGGAAAAGGAAATGCCAAAAAAAAAGGTTATTTACATTAAACTTATTCAAGCTCTATGTCAAATGAGAAGTTGCTTAAAATGAGAATGGTGTGAAAGTGCACTTGTTTTGAGCTGCAAGTACGTCATTTTTAGGTATATTACTCCGTACTTTTAAAATGTAGTCACATTCCATTGTTTGATGAGTAATGCTAAGTCACAATTGCCTACTCAAGCACAGTTTAGTGAGGAAAGATAGGAATGGTTGCACAAAATATATATATATATATATATATATATATATATATATATATATATATATATAAAATTTGCAGTTGGGGATACTAGGGTTCTCACAAAGCTCCTTTAAAGAAGCTGCCAAATTTTAGTTCTCAAAATAGTTTTTTTTCTTGCTTGCCCTTTTTCTTGTATCTTGCATGCACAGAGTAATATGCAGTATGCAAAGATCCTAGTAAATTTTTAGTGACTCCAGAGAGTATTATGTAATCCTCATTTTCTCTCCTGTCATATATTCTAAAAACACAAAGAACACTAAACTCTTGGTATTCCTGTGATGACTCCTTCCTACACTATGTTTACCTATGGTAGGATCATTTATCATCCAATACTCCTTGAGCCAACACTCCACTAATATGCTCCATTAGTAGAGCTTTTTTCTAGCCAGATCAAACCTGCGACTAAGGCATGCTTCTCTAGCATAATCACTTTGTTCAAGAAATATAATTTCTTTAAAGAATCTCTTCCACTCAACTGCTGGTGAGTCTTTGATCATCTTCTTTTGGGGATAATTACAAATCCCACTGCTCGAATAAGGGGCAAATCTCATACACAGCTTAAGGTTGTCTTTGAAAAAAGACGGAATCCACTAGAGTAAAGAACCCCTAACTAGACATCAGCAATCTAAAGACAAGGTTCCTCAAAAATATCTAGACATTTTCTACCAGAATAAATTAATATTGCAAAAGCATAAGTTGTACGAAGCTTCAGGGAAACTTGGACATAAACAGTACAAGAGGCCTCCACCAGGCACAGGCATTAGCATATGATAGATAAAGAACATAATTTTTTTTAATAGCATCCAATTTTTGACAAACAAGAGCTGTGCAAGAAGGGGGTGGGAAGACAAGAGGGGAGAGTATACTTTCTGAAGCTGTTTGAAGCCCTCCTCGACTGATGTTGCAACATTCTGAATGTTGTAATCTATCCGATCAACAATAGTACCCTGAAAGAAATGGCAACTTCAATCACCACATTATTAATGGAAATAAGTGAATAAATACATAAACATGGTGTGAGAATAACCTGGTCAATCACAAGAACTGATAGGTCTTTCATGATCTGAGCAAGTTCATTTACAGATTCCACAACCTATAAAGTTAACCGAATTCATCAACAAACAAATGCAGCAGAAGTCAGTAACAGGCAATTGTGTATTTGTGTAGCTTTAGATAAGAGATAAGAAGTGGGGATAAATGTTACCTGAGTGATCTCTCTTTCCCTTTCTGCTGTCAAATGATCACTTTTTTTGAACTCAGAAATTTGATGATTGTCAAGACCCTATACAAGAAGAGCTCATGTAAACCAAGACAGAAATAAACAATATGTTTCAACTGCTAAGTGAAAAGTTACACCTACAATGAACAGCTCAATTTTAAAAACTCAATTTTACTAGGGGCTCAATTATGTTGAACGACTAGAAATCCATTGGAATCAATATCAAAGATCCAGGTCGCAGGCATACTCCATTGCTTCTCATAACTAACAACTACCAAGAGTGGAATGTAGACAACACATTCATGCTATAAAACGTTTGGGTTGCATCTCTTATAAGTTAGATCAATACCACATTATTACACAAGTTCTGTATCAACTGCTTGTATCATGAGCAACTGTAAACATTAAGCAACATGAAATAATGTACAGGTGTATCAGAAAGTGAAATCATATTGTATTATAATTATTATTACAGTATACGGTATGCATTTTCTTTAAGCATTCAAGAATGTATCCTTTAATCATCATAGATCAATCTGCAAAGCTTGAATAGCTAAATACATGAATTTCTTAATTTCTATCTCCATATCTTCACTTGTAACCAGCTAAAACCAGATACTTTAAGGTTTGGTCGAAAATAATCAACCAAGTTTTAATCGACAAATAAACAGTCATACAAGACCGATAAATGCTATAGTTTCAAGCAATTCAGCAAAAAATGATACCATGTCACTGAATTCATCCTCATCGTCTTTCAGCATGTTCCCATTTAAGTTCATTTCCAAGTCAACACCATCAGTTCCCTGTACCAAAGAAAAAAGAAGCAAAGGTTCTATAAAAAAGATGCAAAGTCAATTAGCCAAATACAAAATGAAAAATATTGAGGAATGCGCATTACCTCTTTCTGTTGCCTAAGTCGCTTCAAATATGTTGACTGCTTCTTACGAAGTTCAACAGAAAGGTTCTGAAGATCTGTAGCAAGGGAACGCTGTCACAGAAATATTCAGAAGTAAATCATTTGTTCTGATATCTTGAGAAATCTTATTTAAAAAAATGAACAGAAGCATAAAACTTTAAGAGGATCAGGAATCTTCATAAGGAAAACTACTCCCTCCATCCCTAAATAAAAGTCCCCGTTTGTCTTTTGCACACGCTTTTCAGGAAGCTGAATAAAGATATAAGATATTGGGGATTGGTTGATTAAAGGTGAAGATTAAAAAAACAATATTGTGGGTTGGTAGATCAAAAGTGAATAGAAGAGTAAGTTACTACTCTTACTAGGGTTTGGTCAATTAAAAGTGAATACAAACCAAACAAAGATTCAATGGGACTTTTATTTAGGATCAAGATTTTTGGCTGAAATGGAACTTTTGATTGGAGATGTAGGGAGTACTGAAAATTAAAAATAGCTAATCTCACTCAACTTCACCTAAACAAGAAAACACACACAGAAAAATAACAAAAGCTCCTAATTCCCAACTAAAATTTCTGCTCAAGATAATCCGGTCATTCATCACCAACACCCAAGGTACATCCTTGCAATCAAGCCCACCCCAATGTTTTCTTCACTACAAGTAATCCAATGCACCTACAAATCTTCCATGTGGCAATGAGCACACCCAGTTGACCTCCATAATGACAAAACAACCTATTACACAAAAGAGGCCATGCCATAATGCACTACAAAATGTGACACCAAAAACTCTGCACTACTAAGATGTTTTTTTCCTGAGTAATGTAATGGGCCACGGTCTGAGACTCTGAGCTCTGACACTGAAACAAGGATCCCCCACCCGTTGTATCCCAAAACCTTTGGTTTAAGCCAGGCAAAAATGTTTGAGCGTCACCTTAGCCAAAGAGTACTAGGTCATGGTGGTGATGGTCACCTTAACCCAAGGCATAATTTGTAGGATAGCCACTGATTGGGCCTCTGTTATGTATCAGTCTATAACATGTGTTAATTTTCTTCAGGACCTTGGTTTTCCAAAAAAAAAAAAAAAAAAAGAAAAAGAAGCCGAAAGCAAATGACATGGCTATTTGTGAAAGAAGCTACTAAAAAAGAAAAACAGAAGCAAGCTCTCCGCTCTAGCGATAGAAAGAGAACCTAAAACCTAAATCTTCTAAAAGTATAAATTTCATGAAAGGCTTGGACCCTCACAAGTCACAACCAAACAAAAACAGTAGTTAGAATGTAATGCAAAGGGGAAAAGTGATAAAGATGAGGGATGGAAATGAAAAAAAATATATCTAGACATAGCCTTTTTCCAAAACCGAATCCTCAACCTCAACTTCTTATATGACCATGGCAGTGTAAAAAAGAGATACCACAGGGAAAAAAAAAATCAAGAATGGAGCAGAAAGCATGGTTGCATGTTAAATTGCAAGAACATCTATCCATTACCCTAAAGTACATACCTGTATGGCTGTATCTAAGAACTATTGTGAAAGCAAATTGTGTGCATAACAGGAGCAGAATAACCACTCATCCAATATGGAAACATTTTAAGCCACCAAATTTCCGAGACCTTGACCACTCCTCTCCCAAGGCTTACAATCCTCATCCCACCCCCACAAGATGATCTATTCTGTCCTCTCCTACCGCAAACCAAAGGAGGTCCTCCATAATTTTTCAATACTCTTATCACCAAGAGGAAGGCTAAAAAGAGAGAGGTAATACATTAGGGTACTAGATAACAGGAATAAATGTTTGAATATGATATGACATATAATCACCCCTCCATCTTTCTGCAATATAACACAAGACTGATAAGAGAATGGTACAGGAACAAGGAGAAAGAAAAAGTACAAAGAGTCGCAAAGAAAGTGAATGGATGGGTGTGGCCAGTGTGGGTTTAACTTAAGAGAAGAATTAGGAGAAAAAACTTACTAGTATTATGTCAACTTATAATTGGGGTAGACATTATTAGGTCAACTTTCTACTGGGATGAAGGGAGTATCTTCAAACATTTTTGCCAAGCTTTAGAAGTTTTTGTAAAAGTTCTATTTTTTACAAATATTGCACATACCCAAGTACATAAAGAGCACAAGATGTACTCAAAAAGTAACAGAAGAACACTACTTAAGATTAACCCAATTTCTTTGTGTCTCCCCTGAAGTATAAATTGGGGAAAGCCCCACAGTCGCTTTAATCGATGAAGAAGCTAACCAACCCCCCCAAAATGAATCTGTAACCACTCCTGTACAATAACAATATTTTTTTACAATGATGTCAATTTCCATTTCATGCTTTGAAGGGTCAAGTGCACCTATACTAACTCTGATGTGTACCATATTGACCTGGCACATTTGCCAGCACCTACTTTTTATCATTTATAACTTCAATTGTCTATAAGGAAAAATTATTAAAAGTTGATATTATAGAAATAAATATTGAGAAAAATCTAACAAGATCTCAAGTAGCTATGTTTTTCCTAATGTATAAACAAAAGTATTATATTGAAAAGAGAGTTAGAGAGAAAGGGCCCCACCCTTCCCTTGAATGTTCTTCCCTGACCTCTTTTTTTCAAGACATAGGATAGAGGTACTAAACTGTAATAAACCTCAAACCTAAATACATGCGCTCATGCATGCAAATTGTTCAGTTAGGAAGTGAGAACTGACAACAATAATAAAAATCACGAATATGTCAACATATAAATCAAGTTAAACGCTTAAACCACATGATACATGTAACCACTATAAGTAGAAAATTTAAATCAAAAATCACAAAATAGTAGTGCTGGTATAAATGCCCACCTGTACATTTTTTCGAACACCAGAATCCTCAGAAGGGCCGCGTGCTGAAAGTTCCTTCAATCTTTTCTCTGATCTCCTCAGTATATCAGTAATATCTAAGGTAAGGCCTTCAATCAGACGCTGATCTTCCCTACCATCTTCAAAGGATGGCATTAAAGCCTTGGAATGAGCCTTCACTAGCTCTGCCATTTTGAGTCTAGCACGTTGAATATTTGCAGTTATCTCTTCTGCAATGTCTACCCATGCTGGTGGTAGACCCACTGTTAATGCGTCCCGGCTGTACCAAAGAAATAAATTTCACAATAAAAAAAAAAAATAATAAATAAAAAAAATCACACTCAGGTCACCACAACTAGGAGTATAAGTTAATTCTGAATGGCGTAATTTAAAACTTATTCTGTACAATCTGATGATGATGCCATTCAGCATGGTTGTTCTCCAAAATCTTATGTTTGGTCAACCTACTTTCAAATAAGTCTACTGCTTCAGAAAATCAGGGAATAAGTTCATTTAGTATGACTTATTGGACATATCATTGATCAATATTGGAGTTAATCTGATTGATTATAATTATTTTCCTTCCCGTACAATCTATTTCATATCTCACCCAATAAAGATAATAGAGGAAGAAAACAAAAGGTAAAAGGTAAGCAATTAGTAACTTGAAAGTCTCCACGAGTAATGGGTTGAATACAAGCATGAATATTTTTGAACAAAACTTACCGGGGTAAAAAAAAAAAGGCAGAATAAAATGTTACTACTCTTTGGCTTCAGTTTAAAAAAGAAAACATCAAAATGGCTCATTAAACTTTCAATGGTCCTTCTATAACGTGAAATAACATACAGTCATTGCGTTTAGGCAAGAGGCATTAAGATAAAGTTGATTTTAATGTCTACTCTGTAAACAAAATTATTTTTGACATCAACATCCAAACCTTGACATGACAATCTCCACTTGGGAATGGTGATAAACTTAGCATCTCCTAAACATAATCTGTACAAAATCGATATCTAAACATCCACCAACCCGGTAAAAGGAAAAAAACAGTGTTGGAAGTTAAAACCGGTCAAGGTAAAGAATAGAACAAACTCAGCATCGAAGGTTGATTTATGATTTTACATCTAAGACAATGAATGTGGAGGTATCATATTATTTCAAGATAAAAAGATGCATTTGGCCAATGTTCCAACTCCTCCATCCCTCATCTTTTTACCCCTAAACGTTGACAACAGCTTTACTGCCAAATAACTTTGTTTTATAAAGGGTCTGGTTCCAATTAGCCTATACACAATAAATCAGCCGACACATACAAGCTTTCCAATTTGCAGGAACAGTAAAATAAAAAATCGTTAAAACAATGTAAAGCCTATAAATTTACAATAGCTTTTTCGCTCTATGCAAAGTTACCATTATCTGCCCATATCACCATTTTAATGACATAGGAGGTATATTTATTCACCAATTTCTGATACAGCCTAATTACACTATAGCATACAAAAAGCTCCAATGTAAATGGGAGCAAATGGCCATGAGGCATGAACTCAAAAGTATTTGTTGCAAGAGAAGTCTCATTACAATGTCTACAATAATGCAACTTGATATCCAAGAATGAGTATTTCAATAAAAAAAATTTATTTCCTCATTACCAACTCTAGATGTGGTATTGAGTGATAATGAAAATTTATGAAGCACAGACTTGGAGGTAGAGAAGCAATACCATGGACATTGTCATGGGGACTTTCTTGCAAATTAAATATAAACTCATTACCATTACCGCCTACAAAAACCGCAAAATCACACCATCACCTTATATGTTAAAACAGGTAAGTTACCATTATGATTTATCATATTTCACACATGAATCTGTGAAAGAATAATGCACACTTCAGCACTTCCAATATCCTTAAAACCTAAGACACTCTAGAACTGTTGAATTTCAAAAAGTTATACGCCTAAGGAACATTTCACCCAAACATTCTTGGACCATTGTCTTACAAACAACCATATAAGCTCACCTCATGACTCTCCCATTCTTGTACAGCTGTTCTTTATTCCCACTCCATTGATGTACTAAAAGACCATACATTTATAGCAATGGGTATTGGAACAAACAAAGTGTTCTCTGTCACGGTTACATCAAAATCTATGTGCTTGTGAACATAATTTATTTCAAGTTTCATGTGCATGAAATGTTACGAAAGGCATCATGCATAGTGCAAAAAAAGGTATAGGACAAAGGCACAAAGCATTAATTCATTACTTGTTTGTTGTAAATCAATGTGCAATTTGCATAATATGTTTGTTCGTCTGATGCAAATTGCCAACATGTTTGTTTTCATGTATAGTACTAATCATAGAGGACAAAGTATCCTCTAAAGAGAAATCAATACATGAAAACAGCATCTAAGGAAAACCCAAGAGAAATCCCATTGAACGGCACCAAAGGCCCAAAGAATTCGGAATTTTGGAAAGTGAATCACCAACCCCTATCATAAACCCTTCAAAAAAAAAACCCAAGGTATCCTCCTAAGAAAAAAGACAGGCTCAAAGGATCAACAAACAAAATGAACAAAACAAAGGGATAGGAGACAACCTTGACTCATTGAGAGCCAGGCCAAAGACACTAGAATCCACTTCCACCACCTAAACCCAAATTCCTTATTCCATCACTTTATCAGAGAGAGAGAGAGAGAGAGAGAGAGAGATTGCCATATGCTATCTTCAAAGTCTAACTTCAACATAATACCCTTATAATCCCTAAGAAATTACCCAATCTATAACAACGGACCTTTGCTAATATTGTATACGAGACATTAAAAGGTGTATATTCCATAACTTTCAGATTGGAAATGGGAATTATTAATGTTGGGTTCATACCCATGTCAACCACATTAGTCTCATTAAACTGATAACACCGTTAATTATCAACTTCCACCAAATCATAAGATTCCAAGAAAGACGAGGAGCCATTACAGCTCAGGGAATTACCTGGGTTACCTCACTCTGTAATGAAAACAGCAATGTATATCTTAGCATCATTAAATGGCTCTATATTATAGCACTTTCAGCACTTAAAATACAAGAATAATCCAATCTCTCTATCATATGCCTTCCTTAAACCCTCGAATATAAGAACTCTCAAAGAAAGTAGTGGTCCCCTCACCAATGGCCTCTTGTATCTTAACCTTACACCCCTGAAACTCATTCACCTCCTAGACTCCTACCATAATACAAGGTTTAATCAAAATAGGAATGAGTAATCTACTTCCTTAGCCATATCACTTCATCTATTGATTCATACTCTTCTCTTTTAAGGATAAATCCTTTAAAGAAGTCCTTAGGGGGCAGGGCTTCCTATCCAGCTCAGCTATCATTTACAACTCCCTCTTTAGTTTGAGTTACTTGGCAATCTTTCCTTTCTCGCCTTTTGGACAATGAGCTTCCTTAGTAATGACTAATTTACAAGTACATTATTCACATTCAGTCAATTATGTGGAAAATGTCACAAAACCCCCTTTATAAGCAAGATGAAACAGAAAAATTATAGCAACTTAGTCATTAGTCATCATACCAAACACATATACACATATTCTGTAGTGATGTCTGAATCCCAATATAGAAGCTCTAAACAGCACTATTATCACAGCTCTTGACCACATTATTTGAATGTTTACGTATTCAATACACAAATTGGGCATCAACCCCACAGAAGCAATGGAAACAAAATTGTTAGACAAATAAAGAATGCAAAACAATGATTTGTTCCTGATAATTTATTCATACACCCTCATTTTATCTTCCTTTTACTTCATCCCTCACTCCTCATGACCCTCTCATTCCTTCATTTTGATTCTCCATCAGCCTCCAATCTTGACGAGAGTTTTATTCCAATTGCAACAAGATAATGAGCTACAGACAATAATTCAATCTCCGAGCCAAAGCAAACCAGTCAGCAAATCCAATCACTATATTTCTCTCTGTTTACTCTCTTTGCCTCGCCAAACAGCAATGCGTGAGAAAATTCACATCTCCTCATCGCAACGAAAACATTATCAATTTTCCAAGTAAACCCTTATCACCAAACATCAGTGCTAAATTTGAACCCAGAACAAGTGAACAAACTCCATCATCCCAATTTCTATTAACATTTTTCAGTTACAACATTTGTAAACAGAAGTTGAGTTCATTCTACATACAACTAGCACTAACTTTCCTTTTGATCTCGAGAGCCACAAAGGACAATGATGTAAACGGGATTCGATCCGAGCTCACGAGCAACCCCTCCCCACAATAAGCTAAAATTGCAATCATAAATTCATAATTACTCCCAAAAAAAACAGACAATTTACAGAAATCAGATAAAATGTAAATTACAGTAGGAGAGAGAAAGCAAAAAACCTGGAAGTAGAAGGATCTTCAGTATTAAGGGGAGTGTAAGAAGAAGAAGATGCATTCGAATTTAAGAGTGAAGTCATCTCGATCACCGGACCACCACTTCCGCCGCCACCAACGCCGCCCATATACGACGAATCCGGCATTTTAACTGCTTTAATTGCATCTCTATGCTTTCTGAACAGTGTTGTTCGATTTCTTGTCGCCATCTTTCAACAAAATCAATTGGAATTGAGAAATTGGGGATTTTATGAGTGTGATTGAGGAAAAATTAGGGTTTATGGGAGAAAGAATTAAAATTAATGAAGATATCAATTTCAAGAATGAAGAATTGGAGAAGGTGATCAACTTTTTTTTTTTGGTTTTTTTTGGTTAGAAAATATTTAATTCGGGCCTTTCTATCTTTCGCTGAGTTACGTTGGTTAGCCTCGAAGCAATCGCGCAATTTTTTTTCTTTTTTCTTTTGACCATAAATTATTATTAATCGAAGGCAGTAAGAAATACAATAATATAGTCATGCGAAGTTTTATGCATTTCAATGCTTACTATAAATTTTAAAATTTTTTATAATTTTGCGTAAACAGATCAAAAGATTGGAGGCTCTAAGAAAATTGTTTTTTAGAATATTCATAATCGGGTTTGGAAGAAACTCAAAGGTTGGAAGGAGAAATTTTTATCTCAAGCAAGTCGGGAGATTCTTATCAAGTTTGTGACTCAAGCTATTGCTACTTATGCAATGTAGTGCTTCTCAATTCCGATGAGTATCCTTAAGGAGGTCGAAAAAATGTGTAGAAATTTCTTTTGGGGTCAAAAAGGTGAGGAAAGGAAGTTGTGTTGGGTGGCTTGGAACAAAATGTATAGGGCAAAAAATAAAGGTGGTTTGGATTTTCGGAATATGCAGCTCTTTAACAAAACAATGTTTGCAAAACAGGATTGGAGAATTTTAACAAATGAGAATTCTCTAATGACTAGAGTGTTAAAGGGTATATACTTCCCCTCTTCGAATTTTTTTTAATGTAAAATTTGTTCCTAATGCGAGTTTTACTTGGAGATCTATTTTGAGTGTCCGTCATGTTGTGGAGAAAGAAGCAAGAAAGATTGTTGGTAGGGGGAGTAGCATAAACATCTGGGAAGACCCGTGGGTACCTAAGCTTCCTGATTTTCGCATTTTGTCAACTAGAGGTGTGGGGAATAATGTGCCAAATTTTGTGAATGAGTTGTGGGAAGATAAAAAATGGAATCTGAGTGTGTTAAATGATCTTTTCACATATAGGGAGGTGAGCAACATATACAGTATTCCTATTCCTTTTTTTTATGAGGATGATGGGTGGTTATGGTACCACTCGGAAGATGGGTACTATAATGTTAGAAGTGCGTACAATCTGTTGCTAGTCAGTGTTTGTTCAATTGGAAGGCTATTTAGCATGCTAGCATTTCACCTAAGATAAAGTTCTTTGCCTGGCATTGTGCAAAGGAAAGTCTGCCTGTGAGAAGCAATCTGGTGGTGAGAGGTGTGTGTTCTGAGATTCGGTGCCCCATGTTGGGAGAGGTGGAGGAAACAATTATTCATATGCTGCTGTTATGTCCGAATGTAACCCCAATTTGGAGGTACTCTGTGCTTAGGCTTAACTTAAAGATGGATGAGGATAGGATCTTCAGAACATGGTGCAATGCAGAGATCGAGAAAGTCAAGAATCCTAAGTGGTGGGATATTTTCTAGTGTATGGCTTAGGGAGTATGGATGAGGCGAAATAGGTGGGTTTTTTATGGGAAAAAAAATGCCTACGCAGGAGATTGCGCACAAGATTGTTAGCATTGTTGGAGAATTTGAGGATGCGAAGGAGAGGCTTGCCGTGAATCAGCCCCTGCAGCAGCTTGGTTCGGTGTGGACAAGGCCTGCTACTGGCCTATATAAACTCAACACTGATGTAGCATTTTTTTTAGCAGAATTAGCTTGGTATTGGGGGTGTCTTGCAGAATGCGGTTGGCGATGTGTTGTTGGCTTATTGCTCATGTATTGGGGGGAGGGGTTTAAGGTGGATGTAAGGGAAAGCTAGAGAAGCGGGGTTTAGAGACTTTGTGCTTGAAACTGACAATATAAAACTGTTTTAGCATATGAAGAAAGGCATCACTCCTCCGAATGCGTTTGGCAATGTGGTGAAGGACATCCTAATGCTATCGAAAGACTGTCAAAACTTACAATTCTCCTTCATTAAGAGGACCAAAAATGTTGTGGCTCATAGATTAGCAAAATTAAGTTGCAATTTTAGTGAGTGTCGTATTTGGCTAGAAGAGTACCATCTTGATATTCAAGAGGCTTTACGTAATGATTTGCAAACTGTATGATTTAATAAAAGGCTAAGCTAGTGGGGTAAATAGATAGAAGCAAAGGGAGTATTTACTTAGGTTTAGAAATTTTTAATCTCAGTCGCAAAATAAGTGTTTTACGCCCTCTGTGGCTCTATTTCTGAAAATTGGTTACATTTGTCATTATAGGTGTTCCCTTTATTGGCTATGTTTCAATTATTTCTAGGTGCTAAAGGTTGTAACGACGATGTATGAATATACCAGAAACCTAAATTAGTTTTCTCGTTGACCTTATTTTGAAACACGAGCAATTTATGATGTATCACTATGGATATTACTAGGAATGTTGGACAACCTTGGTACTTTACGTCTGTATATGTAAGTCTGGATCCTTCACAATGGCAAAATTTAAAAATTTTGCTTCCATTCATAATAAACCTTAGCTTATCGCTAGAGACCTCAATGAAACTTTATTATTTTCAAGAATGAGACTAAAACATTCCCAAACCTTCCACTAAGCGCACTTTGCTTTCAAAGAGTGGCATTACTGCACTCACATAGATAACTATGTAAGCTTAGGATCTCCAATGCAGAGATCCCAAACCCACCATCTCATCACCCAAACCCTCCTAACCCCCAATTAGACGTATGGGAAGCTCCACCTCTCAACTCTTCCAAACTCAACTTTGATGGTTCGGTCAAAAACAACTCAACAATCGCTAGTCATTATTAGAGATAGTGACTGCACACCCATTACAGTCCGAACTTTCAACCTTGGCACCAACAACAATGTATTCATAACAGAAACTTCAAGTCTTCACAAGGGAATCATCCTTGTCCTCCAACAGGGAATACAAAGTCTACACATTAAAGGAGACAACCTGCTAGTTGTCAACGCAGCAAAAGTTATTTGGTCGGTCCCGTGGCAGATTGATCACATTATAGAAAATATCAGGATCTTACTTTGCAGATTGTCCCATTAGAAAATTTGACATGTTTACAAAGAAGCAAATAAAACAGCATATTAGACTGCAAATATTGGGCATAATGTTGATGGATATTTCTTTTTGTTACTCTTCTGCTTTGTACCCTATTATTTCCTTAGAAGCTTTTGGATCATCTGTTTTTTTTTTTTTTAAGGACTAATCCTTTTCAAAAAATTTTGCGTGCAACCGACTTACAGTAAGCTTAATGTAAGGCCTAATTCACACGTGCCATTACGTATAAATAGCAGTCGCACTTCTTCTCTCAACTTCGTCTTCTTCTTCTCTCAAATTCGCAGCCACTCTTCTTCTGTCAAATTCGCTGTAAATTCTCTGCAAAACATCGATGGATTCCCTAATTCACAAATTATTACAATCTCAAAAACAAATTCAAGCTGCAATTTCATACGATCTGCAAACTTCAAAAGAAATTGAAGTTGATTCTGCAATTGATGTTGATTTAAACAACGATTCTATGCAACAAACCCTAAATTGCAGGCAATGTGGCAATAATATTGACCTAAATTGCGAAATCAATGACAATGCAATGCATCAAAACCTCAATTCAGGTACGTAATTTTGTATATGAATTTGTACAAATTTACCAAAAATAGGTAAACTGGTGATTGAATGAATTACGATCAATGCAGATTCATATGAGAGTAGAGTTATTCTCGATGAAGAACAAATCTCAGCTGATGAAGTGCAAATCTCGGTGGATGAAGAGCAAATCTCAGAGGATGAAGATTCAACTTCTGAAGGTAACATTAAGCTTTTGAACAGTTGCAGAATTGTTTAAATTGAAGTTTCTGCTTAATATTGAAAAGTACAAGTAAAATTGAAATTGCATACTTGTTTAATTTATAGTGTAACTTTAAGAAATAGAAGTGTAACTTTAAGAAACTAAGTGTAACCTTAAGAAATATAAGTGTTGTTTTGTTTATGGCATAAAAGTTATAGTTATTATTGTTAAAGTTACATAATATGGCTTAGAAGTTATATTATATAATTTAATAAAATAGTGAAATTAGTGATAACACTGTCAAAGTTACCTGATATGGCTTAAAAGTTACTGTATTACTGAATTATAGTTACACTTTTTTCATAAAACTTAAATCTACTATACTGTTTATATTGCAGTCATTGAAACCAATATTGATGTTGGGAGAACACTATTAGGCATCAGAACAAAAACCTTAGAAGAAATGCATGAGATTTACAAAAAACATGCATCAATTGTAGGATTTTCAGTAAGGAAACATACAGGTAGGACTAGGGATAAAACTGGAAAAGTTATTGTGGAGAAATACTATGTTTGTTCTACACAAGGTAAAACAAACACTGGGGAAAGAAAAAAAGAAAAAAATAGAAGCAATTGTGGAGAATGTAGAAAAGAAAAAGAAAAGAAAACCTAGGCAAGTTCCTATCACAAGAACAGATTGTAGAGCTTGTATAAGAGTCAAGATGAATGAGGATGGATTGTTTGAAGTAGTACAACATGTTTTGGTACATAATCATGAACTCACAAGAAAACAATGGCACTATTTTCATCGATCTGAAAGAGAGATGACAGAAGAAAAGGGACAAGTAATAGAAAACTTGCAAAAGTCAGGACTTTCAGCTATGGACTCATATCGAGCTATGTGCAATGAAGCTGGAGGTGAAGAAAACTTGGGACACACAAAGAAAGACCATCTGAATTATTGGAAAAGGTTGAAAATGAAAAATATTGAAGGTGGTGATGCACAAGCAGTCTCTGAAATAATGTACCAGGAACTTGCTAATGATCCTGAATTTTTCTTTAGATTTAGATTGAATAAAGAAGGCAAGTTAAGAGCACTATTTTGGAGAGACTCGATGATGAGAGAAGATTATAGTATTTATGGAGATGTTGTAGTGTTTGACACTACATACAGGACAAATAGATACAATTTGATATGTGCTCCTATTGTTGGAATTAATAACCACTGGAAAAATTGCATGTTTGGTTGTGCTTTTATTGGAGATGAGAAAATTGAATCATTTGTATGGATTCTTGAGACATTCAAAAAGTCAATGAGAGGGAAATGCCCAATCTCAATCTTCACAGACCAAGATCAAGCAATGTGCTCTGCAATAAAGAAGGTAACATTTAAAGTTATACATAAAGGTGTTAAAGTTACCTTGTTTCTATTGTGTAGTTACCTTTTTTTTTCTAAAAATATATCTGATTATAATTCAGGTCTTTCCAGAGGTCAGACATAGATTATGTATATGGCATTTGGAACAAAATGCTATGACAAGATTTGGATCATTGAAACGAGACAAGGATTTTAAGAGAACATTCTCCTACTGTTTGAAACGATGTGTAACTGAAGTTGAGTTTGAAACTGAATGGAACTCAATGATTGAGAAGTATAATTTACAAGAAGATAGTTGGTTCCAAAGAATTTATGATCTAAAAGAAAAGTGGTGTCCAGCTCTAAGCAAAGACTTCTTCTCAGCTGGTATCCTCTCTTCCCAACGAAGTGAAAGTACCAATCATGCAATTGGGTTTAGAGCAAATAGATCAACAAGCTTGACTGAATTCTATAGCATTTTCAAAGCTTGTATACAGCGTTGGAGAAGCACAGAAAAACATGATGAGTTCTCGTGTAGTAAATCAACTGCATCATCAGCAATACCATTATCTGGTTTGCTGGAACATGCATCAGAATTCTACACTTTGTCTTTATTCACAGATTTTGAAGAAGAATTTGGGTATTCCATTGCAACTACCACAAAATTGCTTTGGCAAAATGGTAGTACCTTGTTCTATTTAGTGGCAATTGAAAGTGAACCTTGGTCGCAACAAAAAGTCACTTTTGAATCTAATAGCAACCAAGTTAAATGCACTTGCAAGAACTTTGAAGCTTCTGGATGGTTATGCTACCACTGCATCAGAATATTACACTTACATTCAGTGATGAGAATACCAGATCAATATATAAAGAAGAGATGGACAAAGTTTGCAAAATCATCAATTTGGGAAAGACATGACAATGAAGAACCTGAACAACATCAATACACACCTTGGCGTCAAACCATGGCTAGAAAATTCTATAATCTAATATTGAAAAGTCAATTGAATGAAGAGGCGAGAACCCTTATCGAGGACATTTATGCTGTTAGCCTTTCTCTTGTTGAAGAACTACTAACAACCATCAATAACACTACTGAAGCAGAGACTAACCAAGCTACTGAAGTAGAGACCAACCAAGCTACTGAAGCAGAGACTAACCAAGCTACTGAAGCAGAAACCAACAAAGATACTGAAGCAGAGACTAACCAAGCTACTGAAGCAGAGACTAACCAAGCTACATCATTAAGTACATCAACTGATGCACCTCTTATATTAGATCCTGAGCGTACAACAACAAAAGGAAGGAACAAAAGGTCACGAGGACCACTGGAGAAGAAAAGAAAGAAGACTGCAGTACCACCACTTGAGTTTGGAGCTATAACCCCTAATTTGAGACTATTTTGATTGATCTTAGATACATTGTTCTTTAATTTTGAACTATATTCATTGATCTTAGACTATTTAAGACTATTGTATTATTCTTGAACTTTTAAATACAATGTATTGATCTTTTTTTTTACTGTATAAGTAATGATATATGACTTTTGCTTAAAAAAACCTATAACTTTTAGTAGAATTACTATAACTAATATAATAGTATCCTTAACTTTAATTTGTATTATCCATAACTTTTAATAAAAATACCATAACTATTACAATAATTTTGATTCTAACTTCTTTTTACAAAAAAAAAGTTTCCACAACTTCAATGGCATTGACCATAACTTTTAATGGAATTACATTAACTTTAACAGAATTACCATAATATCCAACCATTTCATAGACAAAATATTAAGTATGTAGTTACAAAAGCATGGTATTAACCAAACCAAAATTTCCAATTAAAAAATAGACATACTTCCCCTTAGTATATACTTACAAAAGCATGAAATTACTGTAAGTTCTAACTACATTAGCTTCCCTTTAACAAATCCTACTGTTGCTAATATAATATTTACTTCCCCTTGGCAAATTTTTCTTTCTTATTGGCATCTTTCTTTTTTACTTCTTTACTCAAATTTTTTGCCGCAGTTTCCTCTTTCCTTTTTTGTTGCATCATCAACTTTCTCCTTTTAGCAAATTCAGGTGCTAGCTCCTATCGACGCGAATTAAAATTGCATAAAGAATTCAACACCAATTGTCTGTCATCATTCATATAAGACGATACCAGTATTGCATATATCTCTGCTCGAAGTACAACTCTTAAACTTACCTGTATTTAAGAATTATATAAATTAGTAAAAAAAACAAAAAAAAAAACAAAAAAAAACAAATTAACTAAAAAAATTGCAACTAACCCGCATCAACGCATCACAACTAAAAGCAGCACCTTCAAACAACAACATACATATCATAGAATATATTCCACAATCTTGATCATGTCCTTTATTATTCTTCCAACTGAACATCACCTCCTCCATTGCATAATCTCCAACTTCACTAAATTCAGGATGACCAAGACTATTGAATAATGTGCTCAAATTATCACACTACAAAAAGAAGAACAAAGTACAATAATTAAACATATAATAAAAAAAATGTAACTTTAACCAAAATAAGTGTAACTTTTACAAAAACAAGTATAACTTTAACAAAAATTTAAACAATTACCAATATTGCAGACAAATGCTTAATTGTTTCCATAGTAGCTTCTTCATAAACCAAATTGTCCAATAATTGCATGGTTTTTTTTCTTCATATTCAACGCAAAAACCCAGAAGTTGTGATACGCATAAATAGGAACAAAAACCTATCATTTGTAATTTAAAATACAGAGAATTAGAAATTAAAAAAAAATGATGACACATGTGAATTAAAATACACAACAGTAAAAATAATTATTACCAAATCAACAACACTGATATCAAAATTGTTGTTTGTGACTTGAATCCATTCCTTCCAACAAACTTGAAGTTGATCCATAACATCAATATCATTTTCATCATCCCAAAGCTTTACCAAGTTAGCCTAAATAACAATAAGACAAAAAGAAATCCAAAAGAATTAACTATACAAACATCAATTAAAAGAAAAATACATATAGCTTTACATAAAACTTACACTGCCTTCAACACCAAAACAAAATTTTTTAGGACCTCCGTCGCGCATTCTTTCATTCTCATTCAGCAACATTGCCCAACACTCAATAACAGATTGGAAAATCTCCAAATTAGCAGCTAAAGACACCATATCTTCTCTTGGAACACTATGACTAAGATCAAACCACACCAAACACTCCCTAAATAAACAAAAACCAGCTAAAAATTAAAAAAAAAAAACAATAACTTTAAGAAATAAAAACATAACTTTAACAAAAAAAAAATATAACTTTAACTAAAATATAAATAACTTACTGATTCAGCACTTGAATATCATCTAAGAAGCAATAATCAGCAATCTCCTGATACAACTTTGGTAATTTTTTCAAAGACTTCTTATTGCTTTTCATCACATGTCAAACAAACACAACATCAACATCACATGGCCCACATCCAACAGATATTTTTGCCTTACCATTACCCAAAGCATTCATGATTATAGATGAGAAAGAACTTTCACCATACTCCAGGTTAATCTTTTCTATCACATTCTGAACAATATTACTAACAAAATCACCCCCAAGAACATTTTCCGCCCTTCCACCATTCTCCCCACCCCCGACATTCATATCACAAGCAATATCTGAAATACCTCCAAGAAATTTCTTCATTGATAACATAATATCAACAATTTCATCAATAATCTCAAACATTCTTGGATCATAATCCTGACTTTGCAAGACAGGAGATGAACTACTAGAAGCACGAGCCACATCACGCTTCTTTAAACTTTCAACCTTCTTCAAATGATAATTTGTAACAACTTCCATATTCCTCTTCATCAACAAAAAATGCTCATGAATAGCCTGAAAAATAATAAGTGAATAATTAGAAAGATAACTTTAGCTACAATAAGTATAACTTTTAACATAAAAAGTATAACTTTAGCATTAATAAGTGCAACTTTTAACTTACATCAGTAGCAACATAATGAATTTCTTCATCAGATGCCATACTATCAGGAACATAAAACTTAATGATCCTTTTTCCTAGTGATGCATCATCAGCATTGTCACCTTGAGAAACTTCAGTTTGCTTAGCTCCTTCAGTTGAAATTCGAAGAGGCAGCTGATCTCCAAACACAAAATTCTGAGATATAGGGTATGTAGTAGTATCCAAAATACCACAACCAAAGGACTTAGCCTCAACTTCTTTTTTCACCTTATCACTAATTTTCTTATCAGTCCAGTGTTTGATAAGAGGCAAACTACAATCTTGTGCCTCATTCCTGAACTTCAAACGCTGAAAATACACAACCTCCAACAATAAAAGACAACCACCAACACTGTCTTGACTCTTACTTTTCTTATACTTCAAAATAGCCCTACACAATCTTTCATGAACATATTTACACCAATTGAAATTCTTAATTTCATCAACATTTTCAAGAGCTTTAACAAAACTCAAATCGGCAGTTCTATTTGCAACAGGTGCTAGAAAGGTAGCAAAAGCAACCATCACAAATAGTCTCTTAAACAACTCCCCACCATCCTTTAACTGAACAATCCTAGCCTCTAATTTATGCAAAGGTATGCCTGCACTACCAGCAACATCAAACATACTCCTCCATTCTTGTTTCAATTGAAGATCAGTACTTCTAGTACTCTCTACAACATCCATCCCATTATTCAAAGGTAACTCAAATACATCATAAACATCATAGGGAGAAATAACAAATTCCTTCCCAGGACTTATAGAAAACATCCAACTAACAGGATCAAAATGATCAACCAACCAAGGAAGTAAAGTTGTAACAGTTCTAGTCAACTTTAAATCTAACAAACCACCAAATCCTATTTCAACAACAGATTTAACTTGCTCATCAGAAAAATCTTTCATGAGATCTACTAATGTGTGCGGTCTGCAATGGGTACTGAAAAACCTATCCAATCTGAATCAAAAAAAGAAGAAAGGAAAAATAGAATGAACAACTATAACTTTGAAGAGAATAAATACAACTTCAGAAATAATAAATGCAACTTTAGCAAGCACAAAATTATAACTATAAATAAGTACTAAAATATAGCTTTAATATCATTATCCATAACTTTACATAAAATTATCCTAAATATTGTATCAGCATATAAGTTAATTATCACTTTATCTTACTAACACAATGTCCATAACTTTAAGGGCATTATCCACAACTTTAAGGGCATTATCCATAACTTTAAGAGCATAATCCATAACTTTAGAAATAATAACAATAACTTCAGAAAAGGGTACTTACATTTCAACATCAGAATCAGAATCATCTCTCTCTGATATACTTGCAACATTTTCATCTTCTTCAGCATCAGCATCTGGTTTGTTTCTATTTTCAATTTTGACAGCCTTGTCAACCACTCTCCGCTTCTTCTCAGGATACTGTCCTTCACCATTTTCCACTTCTTCTCAGCCGGACGACGATAATATTTTTTTCGTTTTTTCTCAACAGAAGCATTATTGGATGCCTTAGCTAGCTTATTCTCAAGACGACGATAATCCTTTGCTGGATTTTTCTTAGCTGGACGCCGATCATCCTTTACTACCTTCTTTGATTTCACACTCAATTTTCTTTTTTTTTCTTATTTCTCTCTACAGATTCTTCCTCACTTACTTCTTGGTCAGAATACTCCTCACTTCCCTGCTCATCATCACCCTCATCCTCTTCTGAACCCTCCTCATCATCACCACCATCCTCTTCTGAACCCTCCTCATCATCACCTCCACCCTCTTCTGAACCCTCCTCATCATCACCTCCACCCTCTTGTGAACCCTCCTCATCATCACCTCCATCCTCTTCTGAACCCTCCTCATCCTCACTTTTATCCTCCATCACTGCACCCTTCTTTACTACAGCCTCCTTCACTGCACCCTTCTTTACTACAGCCTCCTTCACTGCACCCTTCTTTACTGCAGCCTCCTTCACTGCACCCTTCTTTACTGCAGCCTCCTTCATTGCACCCTCCTTTACTGCTAACATAACTTTTATAAAACAATCAGACATATGATACAACATAAAGCATAACTTAAGCAAACATTTATATAACTATAACAAGCTGACAATGCTGAAGTTTAAGATTAACATAACTTTAACTAAATATAGTATAACTATAACTATAATAAACATAACTTTTATAAATCAATCTGACATATAATAAAACATAAAGCATAACTTAAGCAAACATTTATATAACTATAACAACTAATTTTGTAACTTTAACTATTGTACAAAAATCAAGAAATTGTAACTGTAAATAGAGAAATTGGTAAAACCTTGAGCATCATCAGATCCACCAACAGAGCTTCGCAAACCACGTCTCCTTCGAAAATTCGAAAGACCACCTCTAAACTTCACCATCGCAAATTCAAGAAATTAAACCCTAAATTTCAAAATAAGAACGATTAATTAATTAAATACTGACATAAACAACAAATTGAACGAAAATGCAAGCAAAAACTGAAAAAAAACTATGATGAAAAACAAAATATGAACACAATGAACCAGGAAACCATAAAATATGAACAAAATTACGATCAAAAACAAAAAATACCAAAAATCAAACTAATATACTTACGAATACAACAAATTACAACAAAAACAAAGAATTCTACTTAAAATTGAAATAAATTAGAGAATTACAAGTTAATAATACACATGTAAAATGAAAAACCATAACAAATCAACAATTACAACAACTAATGAACAAATTATGCGATTAAAACCAAAAATAATTTAAAAACTAACCTCAAAAACCGATGAGAATCCAAAATTCAATTCGTCAACTAAAGAAAATCAACAAAACAAAGGAAAGATGAAGAGAAATTGCAGAGAAATATGAACAGAGGAGTGAGAAATTGCAGAGCAGAAAATAAATGAAGAAGACGCGCTAAAATGAAAAACAAAAAAAAAAACGGAAAAAAGAAATAACCGCTGGACTGCACATGTGAGCCCAGTCCAGAAGAGAGAAGTGGGCCGATTTTACACTAACTTAGTGTAAGCCAGCCTTTTTCAAGAATTTGTAAATCCTTTTTTTTTTTTTTACTTATCCATAAATTGAAGAAAAAAAACATTTATCACAACAAAGCACTTGAAATAAATAAATAAATACGGAGTAAAATAAGAATCGTCACTAAAAAGTCCTTTCCCTCAAATCAGAAGCCGTGGAGGCTAAGTATCGAAACAGCCCCTTACTTCGGCTTTGGCCCCATAAATTCTCTCTCCTCTTTCCTATTTCCACAATTACACATTTTCGATAAAAAAAAAAAAAAAAACCTCAAAACCCTCGCATTGACTTGTTTAAATATTCAACTTTTTTGCATTCAATCAAACCTATTGCTACAGATTACCCAAATTTCAGTTAATTTTGTTTATTAATTCATCAATGGATGATCGAACTTGGAATTTTTCCCTCTCTACTTCCTCTTCCAAGTACAATCAGTCTTACTCTGGTAAAGCTCTAAACTTTGTTGAATTGGGTTTTTTTAATTCGTGTTTTTTGGGTGTTAATTGAGTTCAATTTGGTTATGATTAATGGGTTTATGTTGAATTTTTCTGGGTATTTCTCAATTTTAATTTTTGGATGGTTCAGATAATTTATTGGATTATGAAGAATATGATGGAGATACTGATATTGAGGTAGATTATCCATGCCCCTTTTGCTCTGAGGATTTCGATATTGTTGGATTATGCTGTCATATTGAAGAGGAGCATTATGATGAATCTAAACGAGGGGTATGCTGTTTTCTGTTGTTTGTTAATTCTTTCAATTAGTTTGATTGACTGCTAATTGTAGGTTGTATGATTGTGATTTCGTGTTCTTTTTATAGGAATTTAGATAGATTAAGTTAAGTGTATTATGGAAGTGCCCATTCTTTTGATTTATCATGTTGCTAGCTTCCTAAGTATCTTCGAGCCCTATTAGAGATAGGCCCATTGCTGGTAAAATTAGTTGGGGATTTCTTTAAGATTACAGTTAGGCTAAATATGATTTGATGATGAATACTGAGATACTGAATTATGAAGGGAGGGATTTAAAGTGGGTTTTGACTTCTGACGTCATCTTTGTAGATGAACATTCTTGACTGATGATTGCTATGTAAACTCAACATAGTTTTTTTGACTGACATTTAATGACCTTTGTTTTGTATAATTTGCCATACAATTGAAGTCCAATGTGTTTTATTGTATTTTGTGTCATGAATTTGATGTCTAGTTTAGGTATAGGCATTTTGTTGCCATAAGTATTTGCTTGAATATTCCATATATGGTTAGGTCCTTAGGAAGCTGAGGTCCTCCCCACCCTTCTACTTTTAGCTTTCATGGAAATATATAAATCCACCAAGATTGCTTTGATGTAGGCTTAAATTGTTGAATGTCAATGATTGTATAAGCTTGAGGGATTTGCACAATTTCCTTCTGTTTAGAAAGCTATAATTTATATACTACCTCCGTTTTTTAAAGTTTGACTCACTCACTATTCATGGGGTCAAAATAAAATAACTTTCACCACATTTAATGACTTATACAATATAAATAAATTAGCATATGAACTCTTATTAAATTCCCTTATTATATTTCAAATATCAATTTTTTATAATTTTCACTTATTAATAGCCGAAAATATTCATGGTCAAAGATGTTCATTCATTGGAGACCGCGCAAATGCAAAGCGAGTCGAACTTTAAGGAACAGAAGGAGTATATATTTTATGGTCTTAGTTGCATTAAGGCTATGAGAAATTCTAAAGTTGTGAGATATACTCTCTTATGTGCGCCTATCCCTCGAAATTTCTTTCGGCATTTTTGGTGGAATTTACAGGAAATTGAACAATATTTAGAGGATTTTTTGGGGGTTTTGGGGAAGGTTAAGGAAGAAATTAGCTAGGTTTCTTGTTTAATTGTATAGAAATTTGTAATTAAAGGGGGAAATGAATGAGGTGGATTTTTGTGTGTTTGATAGTCTTGTTTGAGAATTGAGTAGGGAACAAGAATCGTTGTAGGAAGTGACATGTTTGCAGTGTCCCAAGTTTAGAGAGAGAGAGAGAGAGAGAGAGGGGGGGGGGGGGGAGTAGAAAAGTGCAGTACTGCAGTTTCAAAACTGCAGCTTATATTTAGTAGTAGTTAGTGTGTGGTAGAATTGTAGTAGACACAGTCTGATTATCCAAGTACAAATTATGTGCCTAGTGCTTACAGCCTGCACTAGTTTCCCTTGTCATATTTTCAAATAATTTGAAGCCCTCCTTAGTTCCCAGAAGCTATAAGGTCAAATAAACAACAAATTAATACCGCTATTGAAAATAAAAGTTTGCTATAGTAGATGAAACATTGCAAGATTGAAGTATTTTCCAAATAAGTAAATTTTTGTAAAGCTTGATTAAATAGTACAATGACAAACAAGGCTATGGATCTTTGCCACTCGTGCGAGCCTTGTGGTAAGTACTGCAGGTCAGCAATAGCCCACGTAGTTTGCCCTGATATGAAAAGCCTAAACTTTTCTAAACTTCTTTGCCACCAAATTGCATGGCATTCATACCTATGGTGTATATATTCTCTCTACTATTTGCCACAAAATTGCATGGCCTATATGTATACCGAGCCTTGTTCTTGGTCGTCACTTGCATAAATTTACCCAATGCTAAACCTAAACTTTTTTCAACTTAAGTGTCACATGATTGCATGGCCTTTTTGCCTGTGGTAATCATAGTGAAAGATTGCAACTTACTAATTTCTCTTTCACTTCAAACTCGGATGTGTAGATTTTAATTATGTTGACACTTTTGACAGGTTTGTCCCATATGTGGCACAAGCGTTGGAGCAGACCTGGTTGAGCACATAGCTTTTCAGCATGAAAACATCTATAAGATATCCTTCTCATTAATTTGAATGCTAGTGGTTCATTGTGCTTTCAAAATAAACTGTACACTGTGCATAGAAAAATTGCAAAAACGGTCATGTTTTCATGGAAGCAACTTGTGACGAATGAACAGAAAAGATCACAGTTAACACAGTTTGAATTCTTTTAAAAAGTCCACATAAGCTTTAAGCCTTGTTTACAATTTCTGAGTTCAATAAGTACTACCACTACTATGTATAATTTTAATAAACAAAACTATCATAATATGGGTGGGTAACATATTTGGTGAACACAAAGTCACTTGAGATACTATGTTCTATGAACTGCATGATAACGTACTAAATTATTTTTGGTCAATTCAAGTAAAAGATGGATGTAATGGCTAAAAATTCGTTCTAATGCGGCGGAGTCCCCATCATGTAACAGGTAATATGAGAGTAGAAATTATAATAAGTTGATACATAGTACTAGGAGAGTAGTTACCGAGATGAATTTAATGAGACCCCACATGGCTACGCTTTCCCTTGCGTATGAATCACAATATTTGGTTGAAGAGAAATGTGTGAAAGAGGAAGTTTATTAATAGGCCCATTCACGCAAGGGTTAACAAATTTAAGTCTGAGCTAATTTTGTTTTGTCTATGTGAACTTTAATTTATACTAATCAGACTACATGTACTCCACTGCATTCTGTGGAACCTCATTTTCGTACCTGAATGGTTGTTTGCGCTTACAGCATTTGAAGAATAGGATTGCAGCTTATGAACTCACACATGTTTGTTTAGAGAATCCCTAGACTATGATTTTTGTCTGTGCTGCTTAAGATGTAAAAAGCTGGAATTATTGAGCTCATAGGATGATCTTATACCTATATTTTTTTCCAGTTGAAAATTTATACTAATTTTTGTTCATCTCCCACCTTAATATAAATAATTTTTTCCTTGACTGAGTACTTACAGCGGGAGCAAGACGAGACATAGTCACGGTGATTCTCAGTCTACTCTTGCTTTATTAAGGAAGGAAATGCTAGAGAGAAGTTTGAAATGTCTTCTAGGGAGCTCTTCACCTGTAATTTCTTCCTCTGATGCAGCTGTTGATCAATTGCTCTCATCATTTGTCCGTAGCTATTCAACAACTCCTGAGATCAAAAGTAAGCCATCATGTTCCTCAGTTGATGCACCTGTGACAGAGGAAGTTGTGGATGAGGATACGCTAGAAAGGTGAGAGATGTTAGGGCTATTTCCTTGATTCATGGTTTAAGGATTATGCACTTCTCCCTTCTTTGATACATTTTGTAGTCTTTTGTCTGATGTTAATATTATTCTGATCCTAAGTTTTTTTGCTTCTCTTGGCCGCATCAACCTACTTTGTGGCTTTTTATCTGATAGTAAAACTTCTATGCCTGGTAGGTAGTTAGAAGCAATTAATCATGTGCAACATCCCTCGATTGTTGGAACTCCAAAGCTTTTAGGGTTCTCATATTCTTTGATTCTGGGTGATAATGCATCTCTGATGCTACTATGCTAGTTATGAATTCTCATGGATGATGTATGATGTTAGATGAAGTCCAATAGTCTCTTCCATTTCAAAGTTAAATATTTAATAAATACTAACATGAACACACGGAGGAAGGGTATGGAGCATAAAGTTCCTGTCATTGTCAGGACTCAGGAGCAAGTTAATTTTAGCGTTGCAAATTTATAAGTTCTTAAAATGCTAGAAGATGGTAATAATGTGGTTTGTAGTTTTGTACTCTTAAATTGAAGTGTATATTATGCCTTAGTCTTAAATGGGTTACAGTGGACATACAAAAATAAAAAATGGACATGCAAAAACGAATAATGTGTGTTTGTGTGGACTGATAGTAATGAAAAATTGGAAACTCAACAGGAGAATATGTGCTAAAAAAATTGAGATTTTCCTGGATACTGGGACTAGTGAAAAAGCTAAAAGTAGCAAAAATAACTCGTAATGTTTTCATAATTAGAAAGATACAGAAGATATGTAGGAGGGTTTAGTGTTTCAGAATAGTAATTAGTAACTGAACAGAAAGACAAAGTTTACACTTAACTGAGAGAACTCCTGTAAAGTTTTGCTTTAAGGTAGCTTTGGAAAGATTACATTCCCCTTAAGGAGGATGGTTTTGTGATCATCATACCCTCTTAAGGAGGATGATTGAATGAGAAAGACTTCCAGCTTGACAGCTTGTTGATATCTATTTATGTTCTAAGGGTAAAGTTTGAACTATATGAAGAGTTGTATGAGTCAAGGTACGTACGTATGCGTTTCTTTGCATTTGGGGAACCATAATTGTGTCTATATTTTGTAGATGATAAATAATGGTATTCTATATGTTACATTTTTTGTAGGGAAGGGGTGAAGAAGTAAAAGGAAATTGTCAGTTTGAATTCATCACCCCTCCTCCAAATAGTCACAATTTCAACCCTTTTCCCTACTACTCTTTGTATCTGTCTTGTCATTTGGTGCATATAGCCTTTGTTTTCAGCTGTTATCTAGCAACAAGCCTGTTATTCAACTTATATCCAACTGATAGAAAGCTCTGAAATCATCCCCTTTATCTAAAAATTGCTGCAAATTATAAACACAGTAAATCAAATCTTGCTACCTGATTGCTTCATATTTGGCTGTTCATGGGTTTATGAGCTATTTGTGGTTCTGTTGTAATCTAATACTGAAGAGGGTGCTGTATGCAGGACACCTAACCCAAGTTCACCTTGACATGAGTGTTTTTACAGTGTTAAGGCTTCTGAGTAGTAAAGTCATGCATGTATTTGAACATTGGGGTTGCCTAACATTGTAGTCTGTTGTATACTAAAGAAGATTTTACCCAATCTTTAGATAAGCAAAGCCTCTGTAAAACTTCAATTGTCCAGGATTGATTTCCTCTATCCATATAAAATATGGGTATCTAGTTTGGTTTTAAAAATACCATATTTCGTACATATTTTCAGTTCCTTAAATTTTTGCACTTTGAAATTGCAGTTTTTTATTTTTCTGCTGGGTTAAAAAAAAATAAAAAAAATCAAGATATTTGTGTTCTTAGTGCTTGTAATAGCTTCTTCAGGCTATTATCAAACATCTTAAGTGTGAGTGTGTGTTCAATCTTTACTATGCTGTTATAATATCCTTGTTCTTTGTACCTCAATACCTCATTTTTCAATTGATCTATTCCAAAGTTCTTGGTAACTCCTATTGATGTGTGCCAGTAGAGTAGACATGATGTCTCTTCAAGTGAATTCATTTTGAAATTGTTGAAACATGAGATACTGGTAATAGGCAGAACATTGAAGAGTTAGCCGAGCTATATAAGTTAGATGGTGAGTGTGAGAACTTTCTGAAGTATAATATGATTTCTGTACAGCTTACTGTAATGGAATCAAATCTTTACCCTCCCAGGAAACCAATGCGTCAGCTTAAAATTTTCTGAGCTGCTGAATATCCTGCTGTAATTGATGTGACACGGGCTATATATGTGGACCAGTCACTATTATCTGCAATCATCTCGGCGTTAGTTTCCACGTAACAGGGAGTTTAGTGATGCAGTAGTCACCTGAAAATATTTTTAAAATTTCTCCATAATTATGTTTGGCAATGGTTACCTGTTATTTAGTGCAGGTCTAATAGAAAGATATCCGTTGGACTGGCTTGTGTTTGTTTTACATATCTAGAAATAGATAGTGCTGGTTATGGGGCATTGTCGCTTTGAGGTATACTGTCAGTTCAAAGGCCAAAGCCTACCTGATATTCTTGGTGGAGAGAATAGGCAGATTTCTAATTTCAATGTAGCAAGCTTGTATGTAGTTCCTTGTTACAAGTTTCATGCTTGCTTTGCTGATTTTTGCAGAAACTGGGAGATAACACATATTACACTATCTCATAGTTACTGGAATGTTTTTTAAATTTACTAAAATCTGAATCAGTTTTTGACTACATTCTGTAATGGCAGGGAGATGAATACCCTTGTTATATCCGAGGAGAAGCAGGAGGAGCATGCACAAAAATGCAAGTTTATGCAGTCGCTTGTATTTTCTACTATCCTTGATGATGACTTATAGTGGTGACTTTGGATGGCAATTGTCTCAGCTCTTGCGGAAGAATGCTCCAGCTGCTTTAGTTATGGAACTATCCGTGTAACTTCAGATCAGCAATGATATCACTAAGCTAAGTGAAGCAGATGAAGAAACCAGGTTACAGCATGTATTGCAATCCACAATGTAAGAATGTAACACTCTGCACATAGAAACAAATTATTTACTATTGTGATATAGTGGTAAATTGGCTGTTTGTACTCCTTATCGGATGTGATTTAGAAGATATCAACATTCTTATGTGGTAAGAAAAAGGGTGAATATGGTGTTAGATTTGTAGAGTAGCAGCCATAGATCTCATCTTTCGTCTCTATTCCTATGCTTTGACATCGCCTTAATATTGTATTGTGAGACTAACATGACTATATTCATGAAGTTATTTCTTTAATTACTATGAAATTACTTTTCATCTCACTAATAACTCATAGACAATTATCATCATCGTGTGTTTATCTTTGTTGGAGTATATTGTTAGCCTCGAAAATAATCAAAGGAGGCTAACTGGCTAAAAATTACTGAGTAACTGTACTAACTGAGCAATATTAGCAGGCCTTGGCAAATTAGTAGGTACTTGTGATATTTGATTATTCGAAGAACACGAGAACTCCATAGAACGGCTGTGTGAGTTTGACAAAAGCTTTTATTTTTATTCCAAGTGTTGTGTTACCATGATTCCAGCAAATAATTGAAAACAAAAACATGCTCATTCTTATTTATAACATCCTCATCATTTATTATGAGTCCTTGGTAACAGTAGTTGTTAGTTTGTTACCATGCATAAAAGTATAAAACTCTTCATAATGCAAAATGAGATACTTGTGTGATACCATAAATTACAACATTCACTCACTTTGAACTATGGAGCAAGTATTTGTGGATATAAACTAGTTTAATTGTAAAAGTATTGAAGGTGGTATCTAAAATTTAAGATTAAATCTTGTCTTTATTATTATCCTTTGTAGCTCTCTCTGAACCAAAAATAAAAAAAAATAAATAAAAAAATAAATAAAAAATGTGTCTTTAAAAGACATCCATTTGTCCTGACTAAACCCAATCTAACTTGAAAATGACTCAATTTAGAGACTACACATGAAGATTGAATCAACTTAAATGAAAAATGGGCTTTTTCCTTTTGAATGAATTATTTTCACGATTCCAATTTTGAAGTATTCACACTTGTATACTTATTCCAATCTATATAAACCAAGTTTTACGTTTTGGTTTATTTTGTTCTCTCCATCTGTGAGAGTCTGTCCCAATTTTCTAGGACAGTCCCAAATTTCTGGGATTTTGATTCTCATCCATGGATGAGAATTTTATTTTTAGGGTTCTTATAATAATTAGGAAGGTGATTTGGATTCCTATGGGTTAGGGGTTTGTCATCAACTTTTCAATCAAAGCGTCAACGCAGATTGCAAAGGTCTCTGCTTAGAAAGATGCAAAGACATCGAAAATCATTTCTCGCGTCAAACTTGAAGCGGTGGAGTATGAGCTATGCCATATATGCAAATTAGTTATGATTTTTATTGTAAAAGTTACGATATTTTCTCTAAATTTGTGGTTTACAAATCTTTATTATTGTAGATGCCTTATGGCTAACACATTTATTATGAAAACTACTCTAACATTTGGTTAAATTCTAACACCTTTTTACAAAATAACATATTCTTAGGAAAAATTGGACAAGGATATTGATTGAAATGAATCTTCCATTTCGTATTGGAGGGGGTACAATATTTGGCTACTAACATTGTGAATAATAAGATACATAAATATTCACAATAATACAATATCAGCCTCAAAGTATTCACGGTAAATACAAGACACATAAAGTGGACGTTCTTGATCATATCCAAAGCCGCATCTAATTTTTTCACAACTTCAATCCATCCAAAAATTGCAATGGAGTCAAAGTAAATCATCACTACTCAAGAAATGGATAAACTCTCTTCCAACTCCTCCTAGTGGCTCCCTTGATGTTGATTTCCAAACTCACATTCACCACAATTCACACACACCCCAAAAAAAAAAAAAAAAAAAAAAACAAATTCCCAAAAAATTAAAAAAAAAAAAAAAAAACAAAAAAAGAAATTTCCACCACCACGTGATCGACGACGTACGTGTGACTATTCTCCTCACATCCCAAAAGTGGGCCACCTCTACGGGCCCCAGCCGTGGCGAATCGATTTACTTGAATTTCTCAACTACCTGAAAATTATTTATTTGATCCAAATTTAGTTTAATTAAAAATAAAATAAAAAATTCTGAAAAATCTCTGCAATTTCCCAGTTTTCCATCTTCACTGAATTTCTCACCAGATTCATTCATTCGATAATTTTCTCTCTCCTCTAATTCCGACGCCATGGAAGCTCTTCCTTAAGCTTTCTCTCTCTTTAAATCTCTCACTACCTCGATCTCATCGGAAACCCTAACTTTTATACTCTTTCTCTCTCTAGAAATCTCGAATTGGATTTTTACCAGTCATAGTAGTTGAGGTTGACTACTATTTTGTAGTTTTTCTGGCAATGCAAGTCTGCTGTAACTCGATAATCAGCCTCTCAAGGGAGGATTGTTTTGGAATTCGACCATTTTCTTCACAAATTCAAGAGATTTGCAGATTTCAATTTGATTGTTGTCAGCGATTTTATTGTTACCGTGATGACGGTTGCAGATTCTCATAGTTCGATTCTTTGTAATGCCGGTGCCGGTGCCGCTGCTGGTACTGATTGTGGATTGTTTGATTTGAGTTTTTGAGTAGCGCGAAGTTTTGATTCGATTGTTGATTTGAAATTGGGAGAGTTTTTTTAATTTGAATTTGAATTTGTGTTTTGCAGGTGTAATTGCAGCTTCTTTTGTTTGTCCTTTAGATGTTATTAAAACTAGACTTCAAGTTCATGGCCTTTCCACTCTTGGAAATGGACCAACCAAAGGTACTTTTTTTTTTTTTTTTTTTTTTAAATTGCCATTAATATAAATATAAATTTTTCTAGTGTTTTGTGATCAAGGAAGTCAATATTTAATGAGTATTTGAAGTTTATTTGATGATTAAATCAACACTTGAATTTTTAATTTCTTTAATCGTGGAATTAAATTATGTTGGCTAGACAAATTGTTTGAATTCTTAATATTTGATGAGAATTGAGATAAAAGGTTGAATTGGTTATAAATTCTTAATGTTATATGCCAGTTCAGTAGATTACAGTTTGGGAAAAATAGAAGATTAGGAGAAGAAGGTTGTTCATGTTTGTTGCTTTTTCTATTTGGGATTAATGGCTGATGGTTAGAGATTGTGCTATACATGTAAGCATTTAGTACAGTAATTGGGATAATGTTGTATCCAAACTGCTAATATTTGAATGGGGTTAATAAAGGTTACATTTTATTAGAATATAATGATGTCAAAGGATGGGATTTTGGATAGATTTCAGGGGTTCAAGGAGAAATCCATGGCTGATTTTGATGGTTTATAGAGAAAGATAGATACAAATGAAAGTTTGATCGTTTGCTAAATTCTTGTTATGCGTAGAAACTAGAAAAGGCATGCTATTCTCATTTTGTTGGAATTGAGTGCCTCAAAATTTCCTTAAACCTTTGCACAGGTGTCCTGTATAAGTTCCTTTGTTTAATTTACTACTATTTCTGGTGTTTTCTTTCTAAGGTTGTTTACCACTACTTAAGTTGTAAATGACTATTTTCCCTACTTATGTGCACAGTCTTTGAAAAACGTTAACTTCCTTAGTAATCAACATTCTTAATTTATCTATTTCATTTTTACAATCTGACTGTTGGAATTTCATTTCAAACAGGTAGCATCATTGTATCTAGTTTGGAACATATATTTTATAAAGAGGGCTTGCGTGGAATGTATCGTGGTCTCTCTCCTACTGTCTTGGCTTTGCTTCCTAATTGGGCGGTAAGTGGCATCGTTTTCATGGTACTTAAAACATGGCTTATATTTTTTGTGTGTGCAATTTCTCATGGTAGCTCCAAAGACAAGTTATCATTGTGAATGCTTATTGAACACAGTTAAGTAAAAATTTATCCTTTGTAATTTTTCTTTTCCTCTTCAGTATTGTAGATACACTGAGACAAGCTCATGTTTCAATATAAAGTTTGATTTAGTAGGTTTTCAAATCTGTAAAAACATGGGAAACAGGAAGTGGTTGAATAAAAGGCTTAAGCTTTTAGTTTCCTAATATTTTTATTGATCATATACATCTTGAAATGGCAATAAGTTAAGACGTTCCCAGTGAATATGATGGTGCAGAAGTGGACATTGGCCTTTGCTAGGATGGGCAAATTTTCTCTTGCTTGTCTATTCTGAATTATATTTCATATGTGGGGTGCTAATAGGATTCTTTTTTGCTCATCTACTTCATATATAACCTAATAGCTTTATTTTATCGGTATTAATGTTGAAATGTAAATTCATTGCGCATACGTGATCTATGGGGTTTGTGTGAATAACAATGTAAATATACTGCTGGTTAAAATAGCATGTCTGCATGTATGGTAGGGTGCTATGTGAATGCATTACCTATTAACTTGGATGGAGTCTCTGCGTCTTTTGATCTATTGAGTGAGAGAAAGGTAAAGGTAGTGTAACTGAGACTATTTTTTTGGTGAAATCGATGATACTTCAATCATAAACAATGATGACTACCCCATAAGAATTTTCCAGGAGTGGGACTAGGAAGTGTTTGGTCTGTTGAGCCATATTGCCTTACTGAAACAAGTGGAAACTGATTGGAAAGTTATTTTGGGATTTTGATCATGGAGGAAAATGTTTTTTCAACTATAGCCTGATTTATGGTTAGTGGTTGATGAGAAGTAGCCAACGTGGAATTGCTGATAGAACTGTCAAAAACTCAAGATTTGACCTATAAAAACTAATGGAGATTGTTAAAGGGGGACATATTTAAAATCTACTCTAACCTCTCTTGTAATCCCTCAATGTTATTTTTTTTGTATCTTTTAAATGACGGCTGGATCTTTCTTGCTAACGTACTGAATGATCTAAGCTTGGACCGTTAGCGGCTGACCTACCTTAGTCATATTTAGGGGTGCTTATCGAGCGAGTCGATCACGAGCCGAGGGGCGCTCGACTCGACTCGAAAACTTTTTACATGTGCTCAACTCGTGCTCGCTAAAGTTTCTAGCTATTAAAACCGGCTCGACTCGTGCTCTTTAAAGTTTCGAATTGAGTCGAGTAGCTTGTGATCTGCTCGTTAAAGTTTTGGCCCTTCTATAATTATATGCCTTTATTTTTTTTTTTTTGTTCAATTTGTATTGTTTTCTTTTTTCTATGTATTTATTATTAAAGATTTACTCTTTCTTTTTTGATACTATAAATTAACACTTATTAAGTGTCTAATTTGTTTAAACATGGTAACTTTGTTTGTAAATTCTATATTAATAAAATATATGATCGAGTTGCTCACGAGCTTATCAAGTCGAGTTAGAGCTTGCTCAACTCGTGCTCGTTAACATCTCGAGTCGAGTCGAGCTAACTCGAGTCCAGTTTTGGCTGAGCGTTGACTGAGTCAAGTTCGAGTTGCTCGCGAGCTGCTCAACTCAATTAACACCCCTAGTCATATTGCAAGATGACCGTTACTCTTTTCTCTCACGATGAGGTAGCTTCTATCTTTTAAAAGATAATTGGTGAAATCCTTATTGTTACTTGTGAGAGGTGGAAGCATTGATCCAGGACCATGCACTAGTTTTTCCTTTGCTTCCTCATTTGTGAATCTAGCTCTCCAAGTGAGGCTTCCCGTCAAAAGAAGATAATTGCCATTACCCATCAATAAAATCTCAGTCTTTGCCTTTATAATTTTTTAACTTGCTCTTGCTCAATGGGCCTAACTATACCCTGTTCTTTTGAGCTGTTGTGCTTGTGCTCTGTTGAAATCTGCTTTGCCTTGTTGTGCTTAAAAATAATAATTACTATTTAATAAACATAATACTAATTATTATTAATATTTAATATAATAACTAATATTTATAGATAATAATAATTAATATTTAATAATCATAATAATTTATATTTTATAATAATAATAAAAATAATTAATATATAATATTAATTGATAATAAAAACTAATATTTAAAGATAATAATTAATATTTTATATTATTTAACACATTTTCCAATGTTATAAAAAGAATAAAAAAAATCAAATAATAATAATAATAATAATGATGATGATGATGATGATAATAATAATATTAAAAATAATAATAATAGTAATAATAATATAAATAAATAATTGATGATAATAATGCGATAATAATAGTAATAGTAATAGTAAATAGTAATAGTAATAGTAATAGTAATAGTAATAGTAATAGTAATAGTAATAGTAATAGTAATAGTAATAGTAATAGTAATAGTAATAGTAATAGTAATAGTAATAGTAATAGTAATAGTAATAGTAATAGTAATAGTAATAGTAATAGTAATAGTAATAGTAATAGTAATAGTAATAGTAATAGTAATAGTAATAGTAATAGTAATAGTAATAGTAATAGTAATAGTAATAGTAATAGTAATAGTAATAGTAATAGTAATAGTAATAGTAATAGTAATAGTAAATAGTAATAGTAATAGTAATAGTAATAGTAATAGTAATAGTAATAGTAATAGTAATAGTAATAGTAATAGTAATAGTAATAGTAATAGTAATAGTAATAGTAATAGTAATAGTAATAGTAATAGTAATAGTAATAGTAATAGTAATAGTAATAGTAATAGTAATAGTAATAGTAATAGTAATAGTAATAGTAATAGTAATAGTAATAGTAATAGTAATAGTAATAGTAATAGTAATAGTAATAGTAATATAATAGTAATAGTAATAGTAATAGTAATAGTAATCTGCTCTGCCGTGCCCGAAGCTCAAAAGAACAGGGCCTTAGCCATACTGTGTTGGGTTTTAGTTGCATCTTCTTGTTAAAATTACTGTGTAGCCGGTGGAGGCACTTCCTCTCTTAATCCTTACAGTTTTAAATCTTCTGTAAATCCATCTCAACAGATTCATTTTTGCTTCCCCTTCTCTCACCGTTTTACTTCCAAGTGTGCATGGCAGGGTTCTTAGTACAAATTTTGCACTTCACACTTCACAGTTGTCGTCAATTCTGTCAGTAAAATTAAGTGATGCATGTTACAATTGTTCTGTCTGGTGGAGAGATTAATATTTGCTTATTGTCTGTACATGAAATGAAATATCTTGAATCCAAGCTTATTCCTATTGAACTGAATCTGAAGAAAATTTCATATATTTGGTTTATAATTTTCCAAAGCTTAATGGAATATAAGAATCTTTACTCTAAGCATCCAAACTGAACAGTGCAGGTTCTGAGTGTCTTCTTCAGCATTGCAATATTTGGAATGTTTTTCTTAAAAGTTTATTTTATACTTCCTCCATTTTCCTAATATTGCAACATGGAGGGAAGACACATAATTGAAGATGAGGAGAGAGAGAGAATTAAGATAGGGACCCATGTAATGATGAAAGAGATAGAGAGAAAGAATGTACAAACATGGTAATATTGCAATATTTGTGAAATTTTTTAAAATGGTAATTTTTGCAATAAGGGGAACGGAGGAAGTATATATTTTTATATTTGTTTTAACTACATTGGAGACGAACATTGGAATCCCATGGGTTTATATTAAGTCAGAGTTAAACAGAGCACATGGACTGTGAATTTAGCAATAAGAGGGGTCAAGTGGGGATGTAGTGACTTTGGACGGTAAGGAGTCGTCCAAGAGCGAGTGATTTAAGTAACTTAGATCAATTTTGCTGAAAATGGAGATATAGAGCAAGATGTGAACCAAAGGATTAAATCTGGGTGGACCAAAATGGAGAGCTGCACTGGGGTATAATTGTGCTAAGAGCATATCGTTGGCCTAAGGGGAAAATCTATTGGATGGCTATTAGACCAACATTGTTATACGGGTCTCAATGTTAGGCTTCTAAGGAGGACTATGTCATAAAAGTAGGAATGAAGAAGTTTGAATAAAAGTTGGAGTGGTGGATATTCAAGGTTAAAAAAGGGAGAATGTATTGTGTTGGTTTGAGCATTTGAAATAAAGATCAAAAGAATTGCTGGTAAGGAAAGTAGAGAGGTAGGATCTTGATAGTCTTAGAAGAGGTTGAGGAAGACTTAAACTGACTTGGATGGAAGGATTTAAGATTTTTATGAAGAAATTGGGTGTAGGAGCACATAGCACTTGAGAAAAGGACATGGAGGGAGAAGAAGGTTTACGATTTCTGGAGATAAATTTTGGTTCATGTAGCTGACCCCATCATTGAGATTAAGGCTTTGGTTGTTGAATTTAATTTCTAATTACACCATTTTTTCGGTTTCAAGCCACTCGGGGCCAGCTACCTTGCGTGAAGATTTAGTCCATGACATAATGTTTTTGCAGTTATTTCTTTGGGGAGCCTCACTACCATTCGTTTCTCTCTCTCTCTCTCTCTCTCTCTCTCTCTCTCTCCTTTTTTTAGTGCTCTTAGCAGGGAAATATTTTGAATGGCCCAGAGCATGTGTTCTTTGATTGTCTATTATATGCAGCCTAGCATTCTGTCTGGTCATTTGTTTGCTGGAATTTTTTCTTTATCTGATTTCATCTGAGTGACTTGATTCTACATTGATTGCAGGTGTATTTTACTTTGTACGAACAGCTTAAGAGCCTTCTCGGCTCAGATGGTTAGTTGCTGACTTCTAAACATTTTTATTATGGAGTGCTCTGTTCTTTTGATGCCGGCTGTTAATTTGAGCTTTGTCACAATGCATTATCTGACTTTCCTGCCCTTTATTTGCAAGTTGTAACATATGTCCAGTTGTGGTGCATTTGTAGATGGGAATCCTCAACTTTCAGTGGGTGCAAATGTAATTGCTGCTTCTGGAGCTGGGGCTGCTACAATCATTGTTACGAATCCTCTTTGGGTTGTAAAGACGAGATTCCAGGTTTTTTTTTTTTTTTTTTTTGATAATGAAGTCCCATTTAATAACTCATTATTGTCAATGATATGTGATTAGGTAATCTGAGTGTTATTGAGGCTCCACCTCTCCTTTTGTGCATCCATCATAACCTCATACTTGTAGCACTAAGCATCCAATTTTAATTTCTTTTGCAGACGCAAGGAATGAGAAAGGGTGTGGTTCCATACAAGAGTACTCTGTCTGCTTTGCGGAGAATAGCACACGAGGAGGGTATTCGTGGCTTATATAGGTTTGTGCCTACACCTTGACCAGCTTAATGCTATATACATGTTATTTTGAATAATTAAGACAGTGATCGGCGGCAAAATTTTCTTTCTTATATCGGATGACATAATGAATACTCTGTCCATTCCTTGTTTTTTTTTTTGCCCACGTTTTCGTCTGTTCTTTCATGTTTTTCTATAGATTATGCTACCAAGTTGAATTACATGTTTTATTGCAAGTAATTGAATTGCCTGTTATACTGGAGTAGTGTTTGCGTTTTCATTTCTAATGTTTGGGAACCTGATAATGATATAAAATAAGGTTCTAGTGAACCTGAGGCAACCTGTGTCGAAAGTTTAATGGGGCCGTGCTTTTGAGGTGGGAAGAGGACGTTTCTTGTGGGTGGGGTCCAAGACTGGGATGGGGTAGTTTCAAGTGGTGGGTCATCAGTGGGGTGGTGATATGGTAGCTGCAATGGTGTGGTTGTCAGTGGGGTGGTGGCATGGTGGCTTAGGTGGTGGTGCTGTTTTGTGTTGTGCTATAAGGTTTGTCAAGGTTGTTTGGTGTAGAAGAGTTTGGTGTTAAGGGTGATTCCCAGGGGGTGGGAAATCATAGTAGAAGAAAGTTGGCTAATCACAGGGGTAAAGGGAATGATCAAGTTGGACAAACCAACACCATAAAAAGGAATAACGGTAGTTGATTACCTTCTTTTGTGAATATTAATGGGTTAATAATCATGTAAACAAGAATCTTCTTTTTGTAAATAAGGCATAATTTGTGAGAGTATTAATGGGTTAATAATCATGTAAACAAGAATCTTCTTTTTGTAAATAAGGCATAATTTGTCTACAATAATTTTTTTTTTTGGAAATAAACTTATGCCCTGCTCTCTTCACCTTATTAGTGCTTAATTGAAATTATTTTTACTGAAATTAATTTAGTTTTGCTGAACTTAAATTATTTGTAATGAGCTTAAATTACATTTACTAATTCTCTATTATATTGTTTCCATAATGTTAGTAATTTTTATTCATTATATTTTGTTTTTTACAGAACTTAACTTGACTTATATGTACTCAACTAATATTATATTTACTGAACTTAAAACATTTTACAGAATATTATTTGAGTAAGGTGAAGAGAACAGGGTTTTAGTTGTCTTCCAGCTACTTTATTGCCTAATTTGATTCCTCTAATTGTGAATTACATGCATGAATTCTTTCTGGATCCTCATTAGAGCACCCCTTTTCTGGATCTTTCTCACATGTACATGGCAAACCCTATGATGAGATTGGTTTTAAAAGAACTTTCAACTACTATTTGCTATGTCTCTATCAGTTTGATGCCTTTTGGGTCATAAATGCTGCTGTCTTCATATTCAAATGGACTCGTCAAAAAAATTGCAAAAATCTCCACTATGATATCTAATGTGTATAAAGATGGCAACCGAAAATCGAACATAGTAAATGTCTTTAGCCTGGATAATCAAGGGGTATAATCATTGAAATCGAAGGCAAAAGACTAAAATTTTGCTGTGTAAATAAGAATAGGGAAACATAAAACCTTGAAATTTAAAGACTTTGGTGGAGAAGAAGTGCAGCACAGAAGCAGAATATTTAATTTTTCAAGATTCAAAATCATATCAATAAGATTACAATACACTGGGTTTTATTGCTGCTTTAAGAATGTAGGATTAAATAGAGCGAGCAAGCAAAGCAGTGTTCAAATATACAAGACTTCTGGGAGTTGGTGCACTACTTCCTGCGATTCCAATTGACATTGTCATTTTTTTGAAAATCTTAATTGAGGTGTTATTTTATTTTTTTTTTATTCTTTTTTTTTTTTTTTTTTTTTTTTTTTTTTTTTTGTGTTGTTGTTGTTGTTCTTAACATAGCCGCCTAAAACATTTTATAGTGAACAACTCCTTTTATTGGTGATTTTTATTTAATTGTTGATCCCAATACGTAATACTGCACTGTTTCATGATAAGTAGCGGGCAGATTATTGAACCATACTGTATAATTTGGCTTAAAATTCCTAAAGGCATAGAATAGTTCGTCATTCACTCCACTTTGAATGAAGAGACTTCACTTAGACTTGCAATTTATAGTTAACAACTCCTTTTATGCAACTGTCCTTGTAAAATCTGGGATGTTTTAAGTGATACTTTGCTTTTTTTGTTGTCATTTTATGATGACCCATTGTGTAGATCTCATAGTAATATTGACTTTGTGTTTATGACCTTTATGTATTTGGATTAACAGTGGCCTGGTCCCTGCATTGGCTGGAGTAAGTCATGTGGCAATCCAATTTCCTATATATGAGCAAGTTAAAAGCTACTTGGCCAATAAAGGTACTTCACTTTGTTCATTAGACTTTAAAACGATATTTAGCTGAATAGATCTCCCATATCATGTTAGAAAAATAACCAATTTTTTGTTTGTCTAGATGAAACTTCCATTGATAAGGTTCCTGCACGTAATTTTGCAATTGCCTCATCAGTATCGAAGATATTTGCATCTACATTGACATATCCTCATGAGGTATGATGCTTCTAGAATCTCAAAACTTTCTCTGATGGTAAACTTTCTCTGATGGTCTGCTCAGGCACTTTCTGTTTGATTATCTATTGATCCTTAGAATGCCCTAGGCTGATGAGGACTTTTTTAGAAATTGATCTTTACATCAACAATCTATACCTTTAACGAAATTAGCTGACATATTCTATTTTACTAGAATGCTGGTTTGAGTGGGTCTTACAAGCTTCTGTGGTAAATAATTTAGAACTCAGATGTCTGTTATCAACCTCTTTTAGTGGTTAATACATATTCAACTGTAATACTTCCTCCCAGAATAAATATCTGACTCTACATGGAGTTTTAGGAAAGTGATTTTGTGTGTCATTTGTACATATTAATTTATTCTAAAAGCAGACGTGAAAGGAGATAGTAGGCTATCCTCATTGAGTAAAACAGAATGTGAGCCATTTATATTTCGAAGTATATTTGTGGAAAAGAGATAATGTTATTGAAGGAGGACAGTGTAGGTTCAAATTATAGAATTGTTTAAATTAGCAGTTTTTTGCTAACAAATGAATTTTTGCAGATATAATGGGGTGGAAGATAAGGGAAGTTTACTATTTATTAGTTAGTTAGGTTATTATTTGCCAACTGTTAGGTATGTTGATAGGTTTGATTTCTTTTATCCTAATCCTTAACTTAGTTTACTCTAAAAACTTGAAGTAACTATGGCATTTGAGAGTGCTTGATTATTTTAATTATTATTTGAACATTCTGAAGTATTTACTTATATTAATTTATAGCTTGGAAAGATGAGCTAACTAATGTACGTTTCAGCATAGTTGGGGACTTGGGGGTCCAGGGATTTTTAATTTGCTTACTGTAGGTTATCGGATATTGTAAGGCTGATCGGCTGTTGTGTAAATTTTTAAGCTTCAAATGTGGTACATTACTTAATGTTCAGGGGGATAATTATTTGATTTTTTATAATGTCTAGAGAAGGGTCAGATGGTCAGTGATTGCATTTCTTGATTGAGTATAATATTGATGCTGTTCATTGTTCAGTATATAGGTTCTTTTATTGCTTTCTATATTGATTACTTTCTTTGACTTGATATTATTTCTACACATTGGGTGATTCTTCTTTTTTTCTAAAGCTGAATAGTTTATGTTGACATTAATTTTGAGTACCTTTCCACTAATACTAAGAAGATGAGCAACACAATACTAGTTACATAGAATAATTATTTGCATTGGAATAGTTCATATTGCCACCAACCTTTTTGACAGCAAAGGTCCATTTTCTGTAATTGTCTTACTGCTGAAGGATTTTCTGTATGAAGAATACATTTCATGGAATATTCTCTCAACATTCTGTTAGCTTATGAATTATGATTTTTGTTTCTCATCAATCTCCTTGGACTTTCTGCAATTATATGCCTTTTCTAGTGCTTAATGATGGCATTTTTTTGGGCCCATTTTTATAGAACTGGATCAGAATACCCTAATAAGAATAAAATTATCTTGCAGGTTGTTCGATCACGACTTCAAGAACAAGGGCATCATTCTGAGAAACGGTACTTAGGGGTGACTGATTGTGTCAGGAAAGTGTTTCAGCAAGATGGCATCGCTGGATTTTACCGTGGTTGTGCCACCAATTTGCTTAGGACTACACCAGCTGCTATGATCACCTTTACCAGTTTCGAGATGATTCACCGGTCTTTGGTCAGTATGTTTCAACCTGACACACAACATCATACACTTTAAATTTCAGATGGAGTTTTTACCTGTTCTGCTGCCTCGATGAATTACTGTGGATATGCCAAACCTGCAACTATAATTTTCTCTCTAATTCTTTGGTGGCCTAGAAACTAGGTTTACCCCCAGATAGGAAAATATATTTGAAGCTCATTTTTTCACCGAATGTACGGGTGGGATTAATTATTAGTGATGATGATGAAAAATGTAAAATTAGAATTACAAAAGCTATTTGTCAACTTTAAAAAGGCTGTGACAATATTTGTGTTGTGAAAGAAGTATGATTTTAGCTTTGTTGGTAGTATGAGTGCCGCAGAGGTACTTGTGTTTTACGCTGAGAATTTTGTGTACATAAAGCTCTTTAACCTATTGAGTCTATTATGTGTGTTATCTCAATCCGTTATAATTATATTCTCTTCGCTTTCTAATCTTAGCAATATACTTCGTACTTCTTTCATTCTTCAATAATTGTAACATTAGGTTTTGCTAAGCTGTAAAATAATTGCAGTGTTATCCATATTTGGCTCTGGTTCTCTTTATCTGTCTCCTTGTAACATATAGGTTGCTCATTATAACTCTCTCATGTCGTTCGAAGTTGTGAATTGTGTTACATTATGATAACTACAGAACTAGGGGAAGTACGAGTACGGTATCAAGAGTGGGATGGATAGATTACAAACGGAAGGGAGGGAATAGGAGAAAGCACGTGCAAAGTATTGGCTTAGTTAAAGGGGAAATATAATGCAAGTTTGCTAAGTTAATACTGGCTTGTGTATTTATCCTTCTTGTTCATCTTTGGCAGTGGTACCTAGCTGAGTACTACCAATTATAATTTGAATTTGGTTCAAACAAGAAACAATGCACTAATTAGTATCAATAGAGGTCACTTGTGTCTAAAATACACGCAAGTCATTATGGATAGAGATTTTATCTCGATATAGACCCTTTTAATTCTCTTCCCCTCCCTTCCCACATGTCGTGTCCAAACAATGGGGAAAATTCCCTCTTCCCTCCTTTCTTCCATTCCCCTCCAATTCTCAAATCCTCCTTACTCAAGTATACTATCTGTACAAAACACATTTGTTTAAAGACCATTAAAATCATAGCTAAAAGTTCATCTTGAAACTTATCCTAAACAATGACCTACATTCCATAACTCTAATGAAAAAAGAACTTTTTTTTTCAAAAAAAAAAAACTAGAAAGAAGATTGAAATATAAACTCATGCATTAAACTTGTTCGTTACTATTACGAGTTTACTATTTTATTGACATACAAAAATAAATGCATTATAGAATCTAAGGAAAAAGTAATCCATCCAATCTTTATCTATTTCATGACATAAGCTACATACTACTAACTTCTAAATATGACAGTTATAACGAGACGTTGATGCTCAATCTGTCTAGGATACCGTTTGAAAAAAGCATTTCTTGTGTGCTAAAATTTCCAATGATGTTATTCTTTTTTATTTGTCAAAAATATATATATTCCAATGATGTTATTCTTTTTTATTTTGTGGATGAGATGGTGCAATGCACTTTTCATATGCCCAATTTTGTAAGATACAACCTTATACCCCACATCAAAGTAAAAACAAAAGACACTTTTTCTTTAACTATTTGCACCAATTTTATTTTATTTATTTATTTATTTTTTTTTTAAAAAAATTTCTTGTAAAATAAATATACATTAGATGGAAAAATACTAAAATGCAATTGAGTGTTGGATTAGTAAAATAATCTTGTCTTTCCATCTAAAAAGGCCAGACTAATTGCACTCATAAAGATATAGGAGGTAATGGTGCTTATTATGTGACAACTCATTAGTTTTATTAAAAGGGCCGGTTGTTCACTTTTGTCTAATTATACTAAGATTAATACTAATACGAGTTTAGATCAATGGATTGATTGGACCACTCTATTATATTGCTTCCTTTTTCATGATTTATTTTGTCCATTCTCCTCAAATTCCTTTTTTTCACTTTACTTTTGTTCGCTAAAAATAATGGAACACATAGTAAAAGTGAATATTATCCTTAACGACGAATTTCGCCAAAAGAAAATATATCTTCAGTGAAGAAATTAAGTAAATCTATACTATTGTACTTTGTATTCATTAAAACGTTTATTTATAATTGAACCAATAATATCACGAAATCTATCCAAATATAAGCCTATTAAATATTTAGCCTATTAAATATTTAGCCTATTAAATATTTATACGAATATTAATATGGAGTATAATTTCTATAAGTAGATTTATAAGTGTAATGTGTGAAAACTTAGGTTTATTTATATATTATTTTATATATTATTACTTTTTAATTTGATGTAAAATGCTAATGATATTCATTCTTCCTATAGTGTAAAGAAACACAAAAATGATCAAAATTGTTGCAAACAAAATGGGAAAATCAAATTATTAATTTGCCCAATGAAAAATATCAGAAAGACAAAGAGGCCTCATCTTCCCTCTAAAGGGAAATGGATGATGAGAAGGGAATGTCAGGGCAGCCAAAAAAAAAAAAAAAAAAAAAAAAAAGTAGCCCCATAATCATATGTATGGTCGGCCCAACCAAGTTATATTGGTACACACCAAAAAGTAGTGGAAGAATGCTATGCTTTTCATCATTTTTTTTTAATACTTGTATAAGTGATTAGTAACATGTCTAATATTAAGATATTTTCATAATATACTTTAAATTATGTTAGCCAATTTCTATAAGGACTAGAGAGGATGAATTTATAAATTCTAAAAAAACTATATGTCATTACATTTGTTGTAAAATTATTACTTAGAATATTTATATGTATGAATCTTCTTTATGGAAGATGTTTTGTCAAAATCTAAACCTAGTACGTAGTAAATAAAACACAAATATACATGCACCAAACCTACAAATTTATGCTATTTATTTGGAATTTTACATAATTAAAAATAGTATAAAAAATATATAAAAAAATAGTTATTTATTTTGATTTTTCGGTATCTAATATTCATCCTCTACTTAAGTTATTTTAGTTTCTCTCTTATGCATTTCATTTCACCTTATTTTGTCTATTTCTTATATTGATACAACCCGTGCATTTCACAATTCATAAGACTGATTATGAATTCATAAGACTGATTATGCTAATTATATATGCTAAATTAAAGAAAAGGAAGTACTAAGGAGCCGTTTGGTTTACACGGGGTAAACGGAATGGAATGAACAAAGGGAATGAAATGGAGTGGAATGAAAATCCCTAAAATGTAGTATGTTGTTTGCTTGTAAAAAAACAATGAGAATCACTAGATTCACCACCACTACACCCGCACACCCTCACCGTGTTTTCGAAGGCTGTGGTGGCTGGACGGAACCCTAACCCCCATCCCTACCTCTCGCCGCCCATCCCTAACCCCTCGCCGCTCTGACCTAACCCCATCAACTAACTCCATACATTTTCCCTGTACAGAAATTTGAACAAGTGAACTCATTCTCGCGCTCTTCCCACACCACCTCTCTCTTTCTCGCGCGCTCTCCTGCAGCAGAAGCAGCTGTTGCTCAGCATCAATGGCGGATTTCGGAAGAAATTACGGAGCTCAACCGCCTCGAACTTCATCTGACTATTCAAATCAGACTGGTCATTTCTTTTTCCTTTCCTCTTTCATTCAAATTTCCAGGTCAATTGAAATAACATAAATTGCATTGCCAGTAGATTTCCGCCATTGTAGTCTAAAATTGTCGATTTCAGTTATTTCCGTCATTCGCTGGATAATCGTGCAATTTTCTGTGCGGATTCGAGGAGAGGGGGTGGCGTTTTCAAGGGTATGTGTGGGTGTGGAGTAGGCCGGCGAGGGGTGGGGGAGTTGAGGGGATGGTCGGTGAGGGGTGGGGTAGGTGCGGCAAAGGGTAGGCATTGGTGCAGTTTTCCGATGATGTGGGTAGGTAGGAGGGTGGTGGTATGGTGGTGGCCAAGGAATGGAATGGAAATACCTTGGGGGGGTGGGGAATGAACTTGGAGGGATTTGGGGGAATGAAGGGGGAAAGGGGAAATGGAAAAGTGGCCTAGTAAACAACAACAAAGGGAATGGTTCCCGTCGATTCCCATTCCCTTTGTTGAATACCCCCAACCAAATGGCCCCTAATTGCACTTCCCCTTTATATATAAAGATAGTTTAGTACTGGATTTCCTTTCAATTAAAGCAAACCTCGTCCAAGTAGCAACGCTTAGTAGAGTAGGCACCAAACTTAGGAGGGTTTAGGTAACCTTTGAACAAAATGACATCCTTTAAAGCAAAGCTCTGAGCTTTATGTGCTTTGGTATTGTTAACCGATTCTAATTTTATATTTAGGTGTTGGTTACAAGATTCTTAATAGTGCAATTACTATTTATTTTTTTTTTCTTCATCTTTTATATTAACTTTGCTCACCAACAAGTGCTTGAACAAAGGTAGTATAATATACTTCGTACGCAGTGTAATATAACTTCATTATACCATGAATTATTCTAGTTTAAACCATGCTAGAGTTCATATGTTTCCGTCCATTTGGAATTTGACCCAATCCGAATTCAAATTAGTCGAACTTAATTAGGAGTTTATTGTGGTTTACATCAAAAACTTCGTAGTATTACCTTATTTCATATGGTCCACATAGACAAAAGGTTGCAATATTACTGAAAATTTTGTTTTTTTTTTTTGGAGGAGATAAGTAAGAACAAGATGTTCAAACAGACAGAAACCTCTCACGAGTCAGACCGGTCCAGATACATAAAATTACTAAAGATTGGGTAGACATTTCCAATCTTAATAACACATCCTATTATATCTTGACAATTGGCCCTTTATTTGATGGTGGAAGGGTAGTGAATGGAAATGGTAACCACAAATTTACTATTGCACAAAACCATCATTAGTGATCATATGCATTCCATTGCTATATCAATGTCAGCAAATCAAAACAAGATATAAATTAAAAAAAGAGATCATATTGATAAGTTGGTACCGATTATGATTATGCACCCTTTGTTTTGCTTGACCTCACTTTCCCATCCAAAACAAAAACAAAAAAAAAAAAAAAAAAAGAAAAAAAAAATCCTGAAATAAAGGTAAATGAGTAAAAAAGTTTAGGAGAAAAGTTACTACGTAGCATGGACTAAGTTAGACCTTGGGTCATGCACGGGACTTAAATTTAGTTTGTCATATTATTCTTAAAAAAAAAATACACTAATTTAATGATAATAATACTATGGATGATCCAAGTATTATAAACGAATAATTTGTGATAATAGTATAATTTATACTCTGTAATGGTGTTGACTTCGATGGGTTTTGAGGTTGCGTTAAGTGGTTTTTAAATTGAAGGGTTTTGAAAGGGGGTTTGTCTTAACATCATGTCTGCTCACACATGCACCAGTTTTCAAGA